AGTGCAGTGCTGTTTCATAAAAGCAATTGCTTATTAATAGTCCAGAATTGCCCTTTGAAATGTTATTCATGACAAAATACTAGATGTGTAGGGAATTACTCCAGCTTTTGAAATGTCTATTGGAACGATAACATGAGTGCTGTTTCATAAAAGCAATTGCTTATTAATAGTCCAGAATTGCCCTTTGAAATGTTATTCATGACAAAATACTAGATGTGTAGGGAATTACTCCAGCTTTTGAAATGAGAGGTCTATTGGAACTTAGAAGGAATGATACCCGTTCCTCTAAAGGAATGGGGGCAGTTGTAACTGAGAAGGGCATAGTAAAAATTTGAAGGTGTAGTGAAAGTGCTCCTTTGGTGGGGCTGAACAAGTTGTTGTATAGGAATCTGTCCAGCAATTTTTTATTTATAGAAATATATTTGCTTTTGCTGTCCTGCAATTTTAAAGAAAAATATTGGAAACGTATCTTAAGTCTTCCCTGCTCTCCCATTCAAAGGTGAACAAACCAGCACAATGTCCCACTGAGTGGTTGTGAGAAAGCTCTCACAGTTTAAGATGAGAAGAGGTGTGAATCTCGATTTCTATGGAAGCTTAATCCCAGTGTTATCCAGCATATAGCTTTATGGTACACAATATAGACCTGCTAAGCTACATTTGCCCTTATTATTTCTTTTACCAAAGTCCTGATTTATTTGATTTTTACCCCGCCCCTCTCGACCATGTCTACTCTTGAGATATTATATTCAGTTCTAAGATACAGGTACCATTCCGAAACATGTTACATTCATATTTCAAGGGTGATTATGATGAATTTGTATTACCTAGAAGGATATGTAACATTATACACTACAATGAAAAAAATGGGATAACCTGGGAAATAATGTTTTTAAAGTTTAGTCTATTTAAATGTTTAGTCCATTTAAACATTGTTGTTCAGTTTTAATCATGATGAGTTCTCTTGAGCCTTTTTTGCACTGAAAGGATGGTTATAGGTTAATCTATAAAGAAAAAAAAGCAGAAAAATAAGCACTCACCATATAGCTTGCTTGTTGGTTTTTTAAAATAAATTCATTGAGTCATTGGGCATAAAATGTCTCTTTCTGTAACTGGACATTTTTCAGTGCGTCCAGAGAGGAAATTACAAGGATCACTGGTTTTAGCAGTTTTCCAAACGGAATCAATGTACAAAATGTTAACAGCAGTCAATTTAACAGTTGTACAGTGTTGGTTTTAGCTGCCCAACAGTCATGAAGCTGACCCAGATTTGTTACACAATGAGATGGTGCCACAATGGTTCACCTCCAGAAGTGAATCATAATATTGTTATGAAGGTACTTCTAATCTGTTGATCTATATTTCGATCAATTAAACTAGTAGATATGCCATAGTACCACATTCCCTATTCTGGAACACATGCACACGCACACAGACGCACAAACACACATGGACACACACAATCAGATGACGGAAGAAATCTTAGTGCTAATAGAAGAGAAATTAAGATGGAAACAATAAAGATAACATCATACATAGAGAATCAGACAAGACTATCTGAAACAAAATCTGGGAAGCAAAGAAAAATTGTGGTTGAAACAATATGTAGAAATAGAAAATCTCATACAGTAAGCTGATGGTGTTGTTGGTAAATAAAGATTTTGATTCAAGAGATATTTGTATAATTGGAAGCTTTAAAGAAAGCAAAAAGCTTCAATGAAAGTTGAAAATCAGATGATAGAAAACACAGGGACATGAAGCAGAATAAGATACATTACTTCTGCACAGAGACATAAAACAGAATATGACATGAATGAATTTCTTCTACTACTGCTTTTCAATTTGTACTAGAAAAGAAAGAAGTACTTGCTGATTTGATGGATGGTATCATTGGCAATTGAAAGCTTCTCAATAACATTTGATATACAGTACCAGTGATATAGAATTACCATCTGATAATTTAGATGATCTGGATAGGTTGCTCAATGAAATCAAAGAAATAAGTAATGAATATAGTCTAAAAATTAATGCTAAAAAATCAAGTTGATGTTAGTTGATAAAATTCAAGCTGTGTAAGAAATGCAGTTAAATGTCCAAAATCAAAATGTGGAACATATATGAACACTTTGAAATTTGGTTAAATGAAAAAGGGATCTTGTTCAGAGAAGTCAGAATAGAGATGACCCAGATCAGCTTCCTTAACATGAAGTTTATATGCAACAAAACCTTAGAATTGGCTTTGAGGATGAACATTCTATGCTTTCTTGGTTCTACTGTATGCTGTAGAAATGTGAGTGTTAACACAGGCTACTAAGAAAAAGAAAGAAGCATTTGAAATGTAGCTTTTTTTGTATGATGTTTAAAATGTATTGAACTGAGAGGATGCCCCCCCCAAAATACTATAAAAACTGAATAAGAAATTAAAAACTCTCAAGATTCAGAAAACCAGAATGTAACAATCATATAATGAGAAATTATTACTACAGCTGATCATTCAAGATATAATAAATGGGAAAAGAAGTGCAGGAAGAACTTTTTAGCTGGTAAACCCTGGAGGCTGGTTTGGATAACAGATAACCTCATAGCTTAGAGCTGCTGCATCCAAAGCCCGTAAACCTATGATGATGCCCAGGACAGGAATAACAGGAAAAGAAATAGAGTTGGCTTTTAATCCAAATCCAAATTTGCTTTTCAGAAAAGATTTGTTTACAATGTGTATAGCAAGACACATAAGTATATGTACGCATATGTATCAGTATGTGTCTACCCACAGAATGACGGAAATACAACATAAAACCTGCTTCAGAAACTTTTGAGTAAAATAAAACTGTAATGCTATTATCTAACACAGTGCTTTCTGTTTTCTCCCAACTAGGTTACTGGTTTGCTAGCTTCTCAATGGAATATTCCCATGTTTGGGTTTGTTGGGCATACTGCCAAGCTGGACGACTCACTTCTTTATGACACTTATGTGAATCTTGTCTCCCCTCTGCAAATGATAGGGGAAGTTCTATGTAAGACTCTTCAGTATTTTGGGTGGAGCTATGTGGCTCTCTTTGGAAGCTCAAGTGATGTTTTCACTTGGGCTGAAATGGAGGAACTTTGGACCTCTGTAGAAAATGAACTCAAAACTGATATCATAGTCACCACTAAAGTAAAGTACAATACGAAAGATCAAAATCTCCATCAAGAAAAGCTCAGCTACGTATCATCTGTTGCCAGAAGTAAGTTTCAGTGGGGAGGGAGGTATATTTAAAGCAACTAGCCAGACTCCTTAGAGGAAACAAAGCTTAGAGGGCCATTAAACAAACAAGTAAATAAGCAGCTAACTCTTTATCTTCTTTCCTAAAGTGAAAGAAAGTTCTATCCAAACTTGATAAACCTGCCTGGTTCAAATAAAGGACTGGGAGGGGAGTAAGCAAACTGGCACTTAATCCAGAGATGCTGCTCCAGGTCAGAGGTGCTTCTGATCACTCGAAATGTAGGTCAAGGAAGCTGCACTGCATTATTCTTCCACTAAAAGGTTCTCAGCTTAGGTTTGTCTGAATTCAGTGCTGAACTTGGATGACCATGTTTTGACAGTGGCCAAGAGTACATTTGCATGGTAAAGCTAGTGCATCAGCTGCACCTGTTCCTGATGCCTTATCTAGCCAGAACAACGCATACCATAGGTATGTACATCCTGAATGAAGTGCTGTATGTGGGGTTGTCTTTGGCAAGTATTTAAAGTGTATAGCAGAACATCTAGTTTCACTAACAAGAGGGGATGGCTCATTTTTGATGTGCCAGTCACATGGTTACCGAAGACTAACAGGTCTAATTATCTCCAATTTATAACAAGAGTGAGTATTCCAAGACATTGGATGCGGAATTCTGATACTCATTCACTGTCCACAATGACTCATCACACCTTTTTGCATTCAATTTTACTGCATTTGCATGACAAAGTATTCACATGCAGTGCATTGGTTGGCATTATTCCTGTCTTGACGTACTTGGCAGATGATGGTTCTGCAATTTATTGAATTTGCAAGGGCATTCACAGTGCAAAAAAACTTGCTTTTTCTCTCAGAAATGCATTATTTTGTGTTCATGTTGCAGTACTTCACAGTGAAGGGAAAAATTACTTGTTGATGCTTTCAATCAGAAAATATAACCCTGGTTGTAATTGGGCTGGATATGACTGCCTGAATAAGAGTCATTAACATATGCAGCTAATTTGAAAAAAAAAGTAGAGTATTAGATTTATGTTGCGAGTTTAACTTCAACCTAATGCTGCCCACTCATAGTAAGGCACCCTTCATTATGCATTCATTTGTATATCTAGAGCAGGTGGACATAATGAGCGTCTGGCTCCATGGGGCCAGACCATTCACTCACCCATCTGCTGCTGCAGCTGGCTCTGTGCTCCCTTCCAATTGCTCTGGAGCTCACGGTCAACTAGCCACTCATCAGCCTGGCAGGGAGGCTCATCTTCCCTCCTTCTGCCAGGAGTGGCTAGTTGACCATGAGCTCTGGAGCAATTGGAAGGGAGAGTAGAGCTGGCATCAGCAGCAGACGGGTGAATGGACAGTATGTCCCCGAGGGCTGGACCTGTGGGGGTATTCGTATGCAAACACCCCCCTTTTAGTCATATCCATGGATGAAAACTATCCAGCAGACATAATATCTTGATATACAAGACTGTATGCATTCAGAAATAAATTATTTTATTCATCTTCACCATACTATTTCCATGGTACTGGAAGCCCAATCCATAGTTGCTACCACTGACTTACTGTAGATGATTTGTACACTGACCTTTGATGAATGGAAAACTGATCCCTTTAACTTCCTTTGCAGTCATAGTTTTAATCTGCAGCTCTCTGGATGCAAGATCCATTTTGTTAGAAGCCAAAGAATTAGGGATGATGAATGGGGTGTATGTGTTCTTTGTCTTGCAGCAATTTGAGGTTAGTAAATGGTTGCAACACAGTGAGTATTTCATTTCTGTCTTGTTTAAAAACAAAGTGTGAAACTTCTTTACTAAATTATGGGGCTGGGAAAAACAACTGCCTGAAGCTGCAGAAGGGCACACTCTCCCCTTCCCCCCCCAAAGTCCACAATAATTCATGTCATCCAAATTGGTTTGCATGATCCAGAATAGAGCACACTACCAAAATGAAAACTATGAGTCTAGGACTTCATACATTACCCAAACAGTACCTCAACAGAACACTGCTGTGTTGCAGGGGTTATTAAGCAGCTGAGGTAATATAAAATGCAAGATTCGTTCTGTGCAATTGGTCACTTGACAGTAAAATATTTGAAGTTAAGATTATTTTTTAACGTTGAGATAGTGATTGTCTCTGTGTTGAATGGGAGAAGCTGTCAACAGAGTGTTAAATATATTTAGTATATTCCTTCTTTTGTCTTCCAGGATAATTTCTTGAAAGAGACTTGGACTAATGAAAACAGCAGCATCATAGAGGTTTATCAGCCTGTTTTTCTGATAGCCCTCAGATCTTATAGAGAGTACAAGACCTATCCAGATTTTGTGAAAGAAGTCTATGACAAACTGAAGGAGAAGCACCCTTCTTACAATTTTCTCTCTTCAGAAGAAGAGGTCATAATTAACATCATTGCTTAATTATATAGAAGTACAGTGGTGCCTCGCTAGACCATGATAATCCATTCCATCGAAATCGCTGTTTAGCGAAATCATTGTCTAGCGAAAATCATTTCCCCATTGGAATGCATTGAAACCTGTTTAATGTGTTCCAATGGGGAAGAGTCATCGTCTAGCGAAGATTGGCCATAGGAAAGCCGCTTTGCGAACCGTTGATCAGCTGTTTAAATTGCTGTCTTGCGAAGCTTAGGTCCCGAAAACACCCGTTTGCGAGCACAGAGTCAGCTGTCAAAATCGTCGTCTAGTGAAAATCGGTTTGCAAAGCAGGGACCAAACATTGTCCAGCGAAATTCCCCCATAGGAATCACTGCTTTGTGAATCGCTATAGCAATCACAAAAATCCAATGTCTAGCGAAAAAACTGTCATGCGGGGTAACTGTCTAGCGAGACACCACTGTATTATCTCTGATAGCCAGTGTGGTGTAGTCAACAGAGTAATAGACTGGGACTCAGGTGGCCCGAGTTTGAATCCCTACACAGCCATGGAAATTCACTGGGGGGTATGGAACTTGTAAAATCGTTCTCTATATATCTCACTTATCTTGAAAGCCTTGTGAGAGTCACTATAAATTAGTTTTGACTTGAAGGGACATGACAACAAATTATCCCAAATTGAGACATACAAAACCCACAAACGAAACCATATTTTCCCCACCTTAATTTATTGCCACTGTTGCCAACTCCGTCCTTAATCCAATATTTTTCTCACTATAAAGAATTTATCAATTCAGACAAAATTACTCTTATCTGCTCTTATTTAGAAGCTGTAGTTGACATATGTGTCACTGATGTAACTTTGCCCGCTGCTTATTCCATGACAATGGATTCTTTTTGGTTTCTGGAGCCTGAGGATATGGACAAGATCCTTTTAGAGGTGGCAGCCACCACATTTGTGGTGGACCTTTGCCCCTTCAGGCAGAGAAGACTGGCCAGATGGATAAGGGTGAGTGGTGAATGCCTCCTTGCAGCAGGGCAGGTTTCCAATATACATAAGGGAGGCTGTATTGAGATCACTGCTGAAAAAAAAGTAAGTACAAGCCAGTCTCCCAGTTCCTAGGCAAGGTAGCTTCCAACCTCCAAGGGTTCCTGAATAAGACAGATTGTCGAGATCCACTTCAACCTGTCTTCAGGTCTGGTTATGGGATGGACATACCTTGGTGGACAATTTGCATCAGGACTGTAGAGTGGAGCATGTCTCTGTGAAGCATCTCACTTCATTTAGGGTCTCCATAGGTATAAAGGGGAAGCTCCATTGGATAACCAGGACCCAAGTAGTTAGAGCTTTCTACAGTAGTACTAGCACTTTGAACTCAACTTAAAAGTGGTCTGGCAGTCAGAGCAGGTGACAGAGCGCTAGCATCATGTCAGCCAGTCCGGATTAACAGTTTTGTTTTCCCTTGTGCTAATGGACTACTACAGCAAGTGTGGACAAATGCAGCAAGTGTGGATGTCAATTTTGCTGCAACCCAGTGACTTCCCCAAAAAACATGTTAGAAATCAGAAGTGACCAAATATTTAAAATGCTGTTTTTTCATGAAAACAAAGCTACACATTTGATTTAGAGATGAGTCAGGCTCCTAGAGGCTTCTAAGAACAATACTTTTCCAATAGCATTTCAGAAAATGTAGCTTGTGAGACCAATTCCCCTGCTAAGAGAGGGGAAGTGACTACAGAAGTGTCAAAGATGTACGAGTTGCACTTGCATCCAGTCACCAAAAATATGATCAGAAAACATCTCAAATAATAGTTTCTGAGCTCCTTTTCTTACAAACTCAATCTTTCTATTCTTTTTTTCTTTTAGGTAAGTTCTTATGCAGCCTACCTCCATGATGCAGTTTTGCTTTATGCATTAACTATAAAAGAAATGTCAGAGCAGGGAAAGGACTTCTATGATGGAAGAGCACTTGTCAACACTTTGAAAGGCTACAATAAAACCCTTGTGCATGGTATGCTTGTGGATTAAGATCACCTGGGCTGGTTGTTCTGTTCAGATTGCATATTGTAAAAGTAGAAGTCATCTCAGGTATCCAGCTCAAGCAGCAGTTTCATGAGATATACATAAACAGTAGGCTGAGCCACAGCCTGAAAAGTTTAGGGTTGGGTTTTTTGTTTTTTTTGCACTTCCCAGAATCATCTTACTGAAGGATTATGGGAGTTGTAGTCCAAAAGAGAACTTTTCACACACTGGTGGGTTGGACTGAAAATGAAGTAGGCAGGTTCAGTGCTGGTGTTGACACGTTCTCATTGAGATGATTTTCCATTTTCTTTATATATCTAAATACTTAGTATGCTTGTATTTTAATCATCCTTCTTATTTAGGCATTACTGGCCCAATACACATTGATGAATCTGGTGAGAGAAATATGGACTATTCTGTGTATGCTCTACAGAAATATGGCAACTCCACACATTGCATTCCTGTTCTTAACTTTGACGGTCATAGAAAAATAATCAGGTATGGTTTGTGTATGTCTATGTGTGTTTAATTTTTTTTTTTTTACTATGGAACATAGACGGTCATAGAAAAATAATCAGGTATGGTTCCATGGTTTTGGACTATGGAACATATAATCCTCCAGTCATCACTGCCAGTAACAATTTCATGTACTCTTTGTATAGTAGATTTTATATACAGGGTATTATATAGTTCTCTTCCATTCCCTGTTTTCTCTGTTTTCAAAAGGGAGGATATGAGGTCAAGAACCACTAACCGAGCTAACATAAGTAAAACAAGTTTTGTATTGTGTCAGGATCTGAACTCAGATCTTGTACATCCATCACTTAATACTGTCTGCAGAGTTAAACTACCTTTGGATTGCAGCCAGTTCTTTGATCAGATTTATGCAACATTATATACTGTCATCGAAGCTACCAACATGAATTTGACCCAACTCCGGGAGGCAGTGGAAGACAGGAGGGCCCGTCGTGCTCTGGTCCATGGGGTCACAGAGAGTCGGACGCGACTTAACGAATAAACAACAACAATATACTGCTTACGTGTGTATCACAGTCATAACATACAGATGAAGTATCTCTTATGTGTTCTCCCACAGTATCATCAGAAACATTCTGTAGGAGCCATCATCCTCTACAGAATTCACTCCATTGTCAAAATTCTCCTGCCATTATGAATTTGCTTCTAATATTCAATTTAATGTAATTTTTTCCTCCTGTAGTTTAAGTCCATGGTATGTAGTCTTGAGGGCAGCAGAGAGCAAATTTTCTATCCGTCAAGACTTTGTGTATTTGAAGAATACTACTATATTTCCTCTCCCTCCAGTCTTCTCTGGGCCCACACATACTTATTTTCCAACTTTTTCCACAGGCCACAAGTTTCCTACTCCTGCTATAAATAAACATTAGATGCTGAAATGTTTGTTGCTTATTATTTCTCTCCACAGCCCAACCACAGAAGCCGACCGCATCAGTTGGTCAGGTGGAGAAATACCTAAAGACAAACCACTGTGTGGGTTTCACAATAAACACTGCAGAACTCCAATTACCAGTGAGTATGATACTATAAATCACACCAGCACTTGAAAAGTGGCTTTTAAAAAGTAATTTGTTTTCATTAGTGTTACATTATCTTAAGAAATAATAAATTGTCCTTATTCATGTTTAAGAAGTTAAGAAGCTTTCTTTCTTTTTGTTCATTATTTTACGTTACTTCTTTAGGAAAAAAAAACTCAGGAAAGAGAATGGCATAAAATGTGAAGCATTGTTGTCAAATGCTCCAAAATGTCCCTTATAAGCACCTTTTAAAATTTACTAGTTATCAAAACATCCTTTGAAGCACGCTCCTTGGTATTGCTACCTTCTTGATGATATGCCACTAAGTTCGTAAGTGATTCTGCGTAGGCATCCTTCAGTCTCAAGAGACTATGCTAGCTAGTGTAGCTGAGAAGGCCAATTCAAGAGTTAACCCTCATATATTAATAGTATAGTTCTTATAAAGAAACTAAACTGAATTTAAATTACTCCAGATAGCTTTCAAACAATGTTACGTGGTTTGGACAAGATTCCATACTTTTTAACCTTTGCTTGAGTGAAATACATTCTGTTTTACTTAAAGTACAACTGCCTTATGTCTTTTGGTTCCAGTCCTTTTATCTCCATTTCGCAATGGTGTTACGGATTTTCTTTTCTCATACCTGTCTAACACCCCACTCCCCTTTCTACTGTATGAATTATTCAAACTTAGCTCCATTTTTCTAATGACTTGTTCTATCCTTTGTCATTAGAAGGTATAGCCCAGATTGTTGTGATAATTCTCCTGATAATAACTGCGTCAGGAGCCATTGGTGTGACAGTATATATGAAAATCCATAAGTGGAGTCTTCAAAAGCAAATTAATGATTTCTGGTGGAGAATTAATTATGAGGATATCATCATTTTTAATGATAATGAGGTAATGGATAACCTACTCCAGTAGATATTTCTCAGTGTTTACTTTGGTACACATGTGCATTTAACATTGCACATACACTAGGATTGGGAAACAATCTTTCCTAAGTTTGCTCACATGCTTACCCACATGTAACTATGAAAGTGCCATACTGATTGTGGACTCTGGTATCCTTGTCTCCTTTATGTGCTGTCTTTGACTAATTGTCTAATTACAGGCATGTTTTGTAATCTCCAGTTCTTCTATAAACATAAGGTTTATCTTTGTTATTATGATCCACTAACACAGGAAATGCATATCTTACCCACTAGTACAGGAAATACATATCTGTAGTTCAGAAATTAAAATACATTGATCAACATTAGAGTAGTGTTGTCTACATCACCAAGGGAAAAAAATAACAAAGGGGAGGAGGTGTATATTTGCATAAAATTTGCGCAAGCTGGCCAAGAAGTATAGAGACAAGTTTCGAAAATATTATTATAAAAATACTGAACATTTCATCATGTGGGGGGAGCCTGTAACCAAGTGATTTGGGAGACTTCCTTGTCCGCTGTTTAGGTGCTACTTGTTCATGGGCAAGTTCAAAGCCCCTGCTCTCCCTCTCAGAAGAGCCTCATGGCGCAGGGGTTAAAATGCTGTACTGCAGCTAAAACTCTGCTCATGACCTGGGGTTCAAATCCCAGGTAGCCGGCTCAAGGTTGACTCAGCCTTCCATCCTTCCGAGGTCGGTAAAATGAGTACCCAGCTTGCTGGGGGGGCAATGTGTAGCCTGTATAATTAAAAATTGTAAACCGCCCGGAGAGTGCTTGTAGCGCTATGGGGCGGTATATAAGTCCAATAAATAAAATAATAATAATATAAATAATATTTGTCCCTAGTTAACAATATTTATGTATTGTAAAATAGACAAAGAACAAACAGTCTTTTTATTTAGTATTCAACACTAAACCTTTTTCATACTCAATGAATTTTCACTCCACACATTGAAATCAGAGTACAGGAGATCCAAACTTTGCTTTGAATGCACGTGCTATTTTTGCTCACTCTAATGTATCTATTGGTAATTTAATACCTTGTATTCTCTTTCAAAGGAAAACTTTGATCTCTCTCAGTCAAGCACATCGGTGCTCAGAGAAGCAGAAAATGTTGGTTCTCATTTGTTTCTTTCTGCTAATAACTACTCTGGATGGAAGAAGGAGCATAAAAAAGAAGCATTTTACACTTCAGTTGGACTTTATCAGGTATTTTGTATGTGCATGTGTAAATATCCAAAACAAACACATCCTAAATGGACATATAATTCTGCCATTTCTGCAAATGAAATATATTGTTTCTCGGTGAGTTATTTCAGTTATGGACAAGTGAATAAGGCAAAAGCCATCCATTATGCTAAAAGCCAGAATAATTCACAGATAGAATTGTAAAGCCCTATTTAGTTCAGGTTTTGTTGTAATACGTTTCAGCTTTGTACCAACTGGTAGTACTTCACATTATAAAGTTCTTAAAATGATGTAAGTGTGGTGCAGAATTGTTGACTTCTTCCCAGAGTGTGATTGCTTAATTGCCTAACTGAAGCTGTTGATTAATCCAGTGAGACCTCTAATTAACAATGTTCTCTTCTACCAATCATATCCATCATATAAATGCCCAGAGTGGCTTAGGTGATGTGATCAAACAGGAAGATCCCCCACATACCCTTGAAAATGCCTGTAATAGTGTTCGCTGTGTTCATTTTTCTAATAATGTTTCTTTCGATTGATACCTCACACAACCTATCACTGCTTCTGTTTCAGGAAATTCTTGTCACTCTCAGATTCACTGATAGTCAAACAGATGTCTGGAAACTATCAGTTCTTCAGGAGATTCAGATGGTATATTTCACTTTCACTCTTCCAAGACATTCTTTGTCTGTGTTTGAATTATAAGCTGACTGCAGGGAACACTGAGCCACGTAGCTGATCTGAGATTTACACCTCTGAAATATGAAGGCTTATGGAGCTTTGTTGAGGAAGGAAATATATTTCTACTCATGTTTGATTAAGGAATCTTGGCACTAATCTGCCCTACTGAGGTTCCCTGTCAATCCCATAGAGCAGTGGTCCCCAATCTTGGGTCTCCAGATGTTCATGGACTGCAACTCCCAGAAGCCTTCACCATCACCTCTGCTGGCCAGGATTTCTGGGACCTGAAGTCCAAGAACATCTGAAGGCCCAAGGTTGGGGACCACTGCCATAGAGCACCCAGGCAAGCTTAGGTGACTTCCCCCAATCTCTACCCTCTGCTGCCCAGTGGAGAAAGTATTTAGAGATAACAGCAGGATTGCCAGCATGCCACTCATTCCCCTATTGGTGAGTAGCACACAGGGAAGTCTCCACCATTATCTCCAGTTAGCAACCAGAGACAGCAGGGGTACCCATCCTGGGCCACTTTTCATCCTGTCATGGATGGTAACAAGCAGTTCTTAGGACAGAGAAGGATGAATGAGTTAATGGGTTAATAGATTCATGACAATATTATTTTTTGTCATCTGTTAAAAAGTAACCCGATACAGATTTGATGATTTTGTTGTCATTAACATGATAAAGGTGATGTGCTTTTGAAAAACAATTCCTGTGCCTATGCAGGCACAGATATTGTAGACTTGACTTTAGTGACAACATAATCCAAGATGGCCTTATTACTGATGTTTCTGCCAGTGTAGGCAGGCAGAGACAGAGTAGAACAAATGCTCTGTCTTTGATTGTGTCAGATGCACCACTGTGCAATTGGTAACTGAAGGCTGAATAACCCTGTTTGCTTCACTATTTGTATCTGGGTGGCAACATTTGCCTATGGCATGGGTCTGTGTAGGTGATGTCAAGACTGAGTAGCATATTTATCAATATTTTCCCCTTTAGATGAGAGAACTGAGACATGAAAATCTGGTGGTCTTCTATGGAATATGTCCAGAGGCACCAAACATCTGCATTGTAATGCAGTACTACAAGAAAGGAAGCATAAAGGTAGCCACTTGTTGATTGTATTAACAGTTTATGGGAGGGGGTGAGTGGGGATTACATCCTGAGACTTTCTTTAGTGTCCTTCTCTGACCAGAGTTGAAATGGATTTTTTAAAGAAATGCTTCCTGTAAATTTAAAATTTAGCAGGCATAGGACATTTAGCAGGCATCTGAGTGGAATGTCTGTTTCAAGAATAATGGTGAAGGTTGTTTGTTTGTTTGTTTATTACTGAAAGTGATGTTCCTGTTCATGTGGATTTGTCACATGAAGGTAGATTCTTGATGAAGTACACAATATTTGTTTGTTTATTACTGAAAGTGATGTTCCTGTTCATGTGGATTTGTCAGATGAAGGTAGATTCTTGATGAAGTACACAATACAGTATTTGCACTATGTATTGAAACATCTCCAAAGAAATACGTTTTTGAGTTACAGACTTCTCTGGCCGCAAAATTTAGGTTTGACTTGCAGACTGAGATTTGACTTACAGACCAGAAAAAAACCAAAATGGAACAAAAACGGCCTGTTACGGGATTAATCGGTTTTCAATGCACTGTAGGACAATGGAGACTTGACTTACAGACTTTTTGACTTGAGAACCGCCTTCCAATACGGATTAAGTTCTCAAGTCAAGACCCCACTGTATTGAAACATCTCCAAAGAAATACTTTATTTCCATATGTAAAACCTGTGCACTGATTATTTTTCTAGGATGTTTTGATGCATTCTGGTATTGAACTGGATTGGATATTCAAAATCTCTTTTGCCTATGACATAGTCAATGTGAGTATGGAGTAGCAAAATTGCTTTCTGTTACTTGGAAAATAGTTTTAAAAATCCTGATAATAGCAATTGAATACTGGAAAGAAACGAGAAGGACCAATGGATCCTGATTGAAGCCTTATTTTTAATACTGTCTAGACTTGCACATAATTCCAGAGGGGTAGATGTGTTAGGGTGCTATCTTCTGCAGCAAGAGCAACGAAGCTTCATGTTTATTTGATGTGATAGATATTTTTGTATCTGTCTCTCAAAATGTTACTAATACACCTGCTGCAATGAATCTTCGGAATAGATTAAATATACTACACAGCCAAAATATTTCTATTTGTGGATAATGCAATATCCTAATACAATATTCCTTTGTTCACCAGGGATATTGGTGCTCCTTGAACTGTTTTGACCAGTATTTTTATACATACTTTGTATTCATTTTCAGGGTATGTTGTTCATTCACAACAGCCCTCTGAAGTCTCACGGAAACTTAAAGCCTACCAATTGCTTGGTAGATAGCCGCATGCAGGTGAAACTATGCGGATTTGGGTTGTGGGAGTTGAAATATGGAAGGAAAACCAGGCTAATAACAGAAGACACCAGTTATACAAGTAAGAGCATGAAGTATTTTGAACCTCCACGCCTCCATCTGAGTGTTTCACTTTGGGCATATCAATTCTTGGTTGTAGGTATTTAAAGACAAATTATTAACCATAATATCCAGCCACCCCTCCTACTTTCCGATTGCAATGTGCAAAAACTGGACATGAACACTTGTAATTGCATGGTTTTACTACCTATTTCTCCATTGGGTGGAATATTGGTTAACAGACAGCCTTTGCTACAGCCAACAATAGCAACATCTTGTCAAATTGCTTCCAACCTATAGTGACCCTTTCCAGGGTTGTCTAGCTATAGAATACTCAGAATCTGTTTCCTCTGAGAGTGCACTGGGATTGTGCAACACGCCCAAGGCTACACAGCCTGCCTTTTCTCTCACTTGTGACATAGTGGGGAATCAGACTGACAGCCTCTGGCTCTGCAGCCAGATACCCAATTTTCCTGAGCTAGCCAGTGAGAGATTGAGACTTCTGTTGATGTTCAAGTAGACAGACTGAAAAAAAATCTCTTCAGGAAATCTCTCTCTCTCTCTCTCTCTGCCTGCCTGCCTGACTGACTGACTGACTGACTGACTGACTGCGATTCATATTCCACCATTCTTTCAAAGTGCGATTGAGTATGGCTCACGTCATAATTATATATATAGGTTTATTTAAGGAATCTGAAATTTGCCGATCCCCATACAAAATGACTCAATTTCTTCCTCTTAAATGAATGTCCAGGTTACAGATTATGTAAACGAAAGATATTGGCTGTCTGAGTAATGCAACACATATACTGGAAGTCTTAAAATATCAAATATTGTTTAAATGGATAATTTGAGACAAAATGTACAACTAGATGCCTATTTTAATTTATATTTTGAATTGTTTTTAAAACAAAGGTTGACACAGAAATGAAAAATAATGTAACTGTGAGTAATAATATACAACGGTGACATATTTATCTATCCCAAAAGGAGAACAAAGCCTTTCCATAATAATTCAGCAATGAGATTTGAGGGTATAGTGTGGCAAGGATGACTAGATAGGATGTAATTTGTAGCAATCTGAAAGTGATAATATTTCATCTCATATCCTTATGAAATTTTTTTCCTATCATTTTGTAGCTCTCTACTGGACAGCTCCAGAATTGTTAAGAATGGGGGAATATCCATTCCATGGCACCCAGAGGGGTGATGTCTACAGTTTTGCTATTATTATGAGGGAACTGATATACAATCATGAAGACGGTCCATTCCAAGACCTGAACAAGAGTTCAGAAGGTTTATCTGTTCTTACTTTGAGATCTGCTGTAGTCTTCATTTTTCGTTCATCTGTAGATGTATATTGTAATAAATAATCATGAGTCATCAAGTCAATTCTGACTTTATGGCAACCCTTTTCAGGGTTTTCCAGATAGAGAATATTCAGAAGTGGTTTACCATTCCCTTCTTCTGTGGGTATTCTGGGACTTTACAGCTTGCCTATGACCACACAGGCTGTCTCAGCTCCCAGGAGGCAAAGTGGGGCATCAAACTCTCAGCCTCTGGTACCACAGCTAGCTACCTAAACAATGAACTATTTAATCTGTGCCTCTCTCAGTATCTATGCAAATGCCCTTAAAGCACCTATACTTATGCTAGCTGATGTCCTGCTTATTTATGTGGATGTGTAGGTGTGTGAGAGCACGAGGGAGGGAGGGAAGGAGAGAATTTTATATTTAATATACGCTAGGCATATAAAGTTTATTTTTTAATTCATAGAATAATAATCCAAAATGAAATGCTTCTGAAGGAGTTGCATGCATCCCATTAATGAAATGTGTATCTCATTTTAAAAAACAGCTAAGCTAACAAGTTATTATCAAGCTCTTGAGAGTAGAAAAAGTGAAATGCTTCTGAAGGAGTTGCATGCATCTCATTAATGAAATGTGTACTGTATCTCATTTTAAAAAACAACTAAGCTAACAAGTTATTATCAAGTTCTTGAGAGTAGAAAAACAGAATGAGTATGGTTCAATTTTTCCATAATGGCACATGTTCTACTGTAAAAGCAAAAAGCAAAGTGTGCTGCTTATATACCGCCCCATAGTGCTTCAAACACTCTCTGGGTGGTTTACAAGTTAATTTTGTAGGCTACACATTGCCCGCCCCCTCCCCCCAGCGAGCTGGGTACTCATTTTACCGGCCTCAGAAGGATAGAAGGCTGAGTCAACCTTGAGCCGGCTACCTGGGATTGAACCCCAGGTCATGAGCAAAGTTTTGGCTGCATTACAGCAGTTTAACCACTGCGCCACGAGGCTCTAAGGTGGCACTACTTCTTGTTTCTTTCTACCAAAAAACACTCATATCAGCAGAGACCTGGAAAAGCAGACTGGTTTCCAAATATACTGATAAGCTCAGTTTAGACTAGTTTAGACTTAACTCTCTGGACTAACCACGATTTGTTTTAGTGGAAAGAGCAGCTGATGTACTCACCTGCAGATCGATGTCAGTTTGTTTTCATCTTCGGTTTTTTAGTTCTATTTCTGGGGGTGGAGGAGGACTGGGCTGAAGTGATTCCTGTGTGGGTGGAGGGTTGCTTTAAGGGAGATCACTCCCAGCGAAGTGCCTCTGTATGGGTGTGATCATACACAATCTTTCTTGCCATCTGATCACACTATATTACTCTTTTTTGCTTGTATGAGTCTTACATGTCATTCAAATATTGACTCACAACAGCATCAGATGAAGCTGATTTTGGGATAGAAGGAAATTCAGAAAAGAGCTGTAGTGACCAGCTCTTTTCTTGTGATGACATTGAACTGTCAGGATGAATGGCTAGTACCTTTGAATATTATCAGTGCTGGGAGCATGGCCTTTTAGGAATCCAAGAAGGCCATTTCAATAAGTATGATTGCTGGAAGAAAGAGTAATGTTATCTTTCAGACCATTCTTTTTTTTCCTCCCCCTTCATGAAGAAGTTGGCCAGGCTCACAAGCAGTTTCTATAGATGTCTAAAGAGTGAGGTCAGGAAACAGTCAAAGAAGAAATATTATAAAAATAAACTTAAAATAAACCAGATAATCTGAAATCTGATGAGATTAAATTGTTAATTCCAGAAATAATACAAAGAATCAAGGAAGCTAACTCTCCTGTTCCACTGCGCCCCACTCTTTCTGTCGAGAAATGTAATGAAAATATTGTTGCACTTTTGAAGGCCTGTTGGGATGAACATCCAGAGAGGAGGCCAACATTTTATGATGTAAAGAGAGCACTGAGAGATGCCAGTCCTGAAAGGTGAATCACTTTGTTATTATAAAATTAGATCCGGGTGATATTAGTGGAGAGAAGACGAAGAAGAAGAAAAATAACCTTTGTATCACCCAGCATGTCATGAAGTGTACAGTGATGAGTCCTACTTGAAATATCTATTGTTCAATACTCACAGTAGCGTATTTTCCCCTGAAGAAGCAAGCCGAACTGGAAAATGAAAACAAAGAAGATTCTTAAGGCACCTTAGTCTTTAAGATACCACAAGACTCTAATTCTAATTCTTAAAAGTTTTGTTTGACATACACTTTTATGGACTTTAGCCCACTTTTGGAGATTTCATCTCTTGTAGAGTAAAATCTACAAACCCTTTCTCTACAAAACCTACTACCAAAGAAAGCTAATTTTATGCATCTAAAAATATAGTCCACAAAACCATATGCCAAATAAATTAACTTGGTCTTTAAGGTGCTGCCAGATTCTTCCATCTTTTTGCTGTAACAGATTTAATGCAATGGCTTGTTTGAGAAACAAGAGATGTGTATCTGAAATGCCCCTGTACCTAAGGAGTGCTTACCATGTTACAATACAAACACAATTACAAGCAAATCCAAATAAAGACAGAAAGATGAAACTGATAATATATATGTCACATATTCTATGCTGTCAAGAGGATTCCAAATTATGGCAGCTGTGGTAGAATTTCCAAGGTATGCAGGATATTTAAGCTGTGGTCTTATGACTGGCACTTCTCTAGCGAGCTTCCATAGCCAAGTAGTAGTCTAATCCCAAATTCCTTGAATCCTAATCTGGCACTGTATTGTAAAATATAATGGTTGAAATCCTGTTCTGTAAGTTACATCATGGAAGGCTGACAATGTCATCACCATGAAAAATTATTTTGCAAATAAAACATCTTCTATTCTATACTATATCTGAACCTCCCAACTATTATTTTATACAATACAGTATAGTAAGAACATGGGAAAAATACTGAATATACTTTCTTTACAAATATGCTTTTGATTTGGAATGCATATACTGTAGACAAATACTTATCCAATCACTTTCTCTGCTATATCTGGTAGTAGAGTTGGAAAGGTTCCCAGGAAACTTGGAAAAAAAAGAATTGGGAATTTATAAAGAAATTATTAGGATAAAAGATTCGTTAAAAAATAGGGGAAATAAAGACCAAATAAAATAAGTGTCGGAAATAGATAGTATATCTTGGTTTAATCTTGTCCATTTAGAGCCGTGTAAAAAGGATTGAATAAAAAGAAATGTTAAACATAGGGAAATCATAAATTATGAAGAAATTGCATTACAAAAAGGAAGTGCATGTGAAAATAAAGTAATGAAGGGGGTTGGAACTAAAATTATTAAATTTGGAAGCAGAAGATCAAGAGAATATGCTCAAAACATTATAGGAAAAGAAGTACAAGAGTTTGGAAAAATATATGAGATATAAGAATATTGAAATCTTTGTCTGTAAGGATAATAGAAAAAAAATTATAAGCTAGTTTGGAGATAGTTTTTAACTCCCATGAAATTTAATCAAATAGATATTAATTGTGCCAAGCTGTGTTGGCGAGGATGTCAGAAAGTGGGTACTTTTTTTCATATGTGATGGGAATGTGAGAATTTGTTGAATTCTGGCAATTGGTCTTTAAGGAAATAAATGAAATAAATGAATTAAATTTTGAGGCATATCCTAAAACAGTGTTTTTTTTAATCAATATTTGATAGGGTTCAATGCACTTGGACAATTAAATAATTATTTTTAAATTTATCAACAGCGGCAGGATTAATTGTAGCTAGGAATTGGGAAACTGTGTGTAATGTTCAATTAAATTAATAGTATAGAGAGGTTTGGAATATAGCTATTAATGAGATGTAATGTTAAAGTTAAGAAGGGGATGATAAGTGAGAGTATATTTATAAATATATAGGAAGAAATCAATGAGCTAGTTTGGAGATAGTTTTTAACTCCCATGAAATTTAATCAAATAGATATTAATTGTGCCAAGCTGTGTTGGCGAGGATGTCAGAAAGTGGGTACTTTTTTTCATATGTGATGGGAATGTGAGAATTTGTTGAAATTCTGGCAATTGGTCTTCAAGGAAATAAATGAAATAAATGAATTAAATTTTGAGGCATATCCTAAAACAGTGTTTTTTTTAATCAATATTTGATAGGGTTCAATGCACTTGGACAATTAAATAATTATTTTTAAATTTATCAACAGTGGCAGGATTAATTGTAGCTAGGAATTGGGAAACTGTGTGTAATGTTCAATTAAATTAATAGTATAGAGAGGTTTGGAATATAGCTATTAATGAGATGTAATGTTAAAGTTAAGAAGGGGATGATAAGTGAGAGTATATTTATAAATATATAGGAAGAAATCAATGATTATGTATTACAGTGGGGTCTTGACTTGAGAACTTAATCCGTATTGGAAGGCGGTTCTCAAGGCGAAGATATTAATTGTCCCAAGCTGTGTTGGTGAGGATGTCAGAAAGTGGGTACTTTTTTTCATATGTGATGGGAATGTGAGAATTTGTTGAAATTCTGGCAATTGGTCTTCAAGGAAATAAATGAAATAAATGAATTAAATTTTGAGGCATATCCTAAAACAGTGTTTTTTTAATCAATATTTGATAGGGTTTAATGCACTTGGACAATTAAATAATTATTTTTAAATTTATCAACAGTGGCAGGATTAATTGTAGCTAGGAATTGGGAAACTGTGTGTAATGTTCAATTAAATTAATAGTATAGAGAGGTTTGGGATATAGCTATTAATGAAATGTAATGTTAAAGTTAAGAAGGGGATGATAAGTGAGAGTATATTTATAAATATATAGAAAGAAATCAGTGATTATGTATTAATAATGGGAAAGGAACATACACCTTTGCAATAGTAAATGCAATTTTGGAATGGGAATGGGGCTCCATAGGAGGAAAAAATGTCATAACTCCCACATGGTCCCCTCATAAGAGATGTAACAGTTTCCTTCAATATTTACTTTGTTAACATTTATAAAGCCATTTCAGTATCTTGGATAACATGGTTAATAAATTGGAAAAATATGCAAATCATCTGGAGGAAGTTGTTGAAGCAAGGACAACTCAGTTGATGGTGGAAAAGAAGAAGACTGAAAAGCTTTTATCAGCCATGCTACCTGGGTGTGTGAAATCCTTCAATATTGTTAAATTACATTATTCTGCTGTAGATGTCCTAAAATGAACCAAAAGAACCAAAGAAAGATCCAAAATGACTTGATGAATTTTACTGTGATCTTCAGGCATTTTCTAGAACTCTGCCTTTTAATTATTTCAAAAGAGGAAGAGTTACAGAGCTATCCTAGTTCTCTTGGCTGAGGGAGGTAAGAATGTGATAGAATTGTCCCTTCAGTGGAGAAACCAGAAGCCAGTGGAAAGTGCCAGAAGACAGGAATACTGTTAGTGGTGTTTCTATCTGAGGCATGATTCTTCAGAACTAGGAAAAGGAACTCTGACTAAGATCTCTGATAGGAAAGGGGACTCTGACTAAGATCTCTAAAGAACACGTGTGATAATAACATTTAAAAAAACCTGAAATAACATTGTGACAAAAAAAATGTACAAATATTATAGTTGTAATTTTGCACATGCTGAACCCTTAATTCCTGCAAGCTTGCCCTAGGAATTGGTTCTATGTACAAACTCTGCACATGACTCAATGATAACATGCACGATTTGAAGGATTCAGAATTTATTTCCTTTTTCTGAAGTGAAGAGAAAAAGCAAACAAGAGGCTGGATGTGATATCTCATCAATTTTTCAGGTCTATTGGAGAACAGCTTGTTGCTGGGAAATCGGTGGAACCTGAAAGCTTTGATTCAGTCTCCATTTTCTTCTCAGACATTGTTGGCTTCACCAGGTTGTGTGCTGTCAGCTCTCCACTGCAAGTTGTCACTCTCCTCAATGACCTATATAGTCTGTTCGATAATATCATCAAAATATATGATGTTTACAAGGTAGGTAGGCAGCTTTAATTGTGACAAGTAGATGGGGTGGTGACACCCACAATTCTCCCTCAGCTGGCTTGCACTTTATATTAGTACACAGGGGCTCTTGTTTGTAGATCTGCCCCTGTGACTATTCAAACCAGATACCCAGTGTGCACCTTCACACAGTTTCTCTGTACACTTAGGATATCTGGGCCCCTGTATAAAAGTTCATCACACTCTGGTGAAGATTTTGAACCTAGTTCTATGTAGACATTTCCCTTCCAACTGTCTTAAGTGTCTTACTGTTCATTCATCTAGCACTCACTTGTCATTCAATCTATTAATGGCATCCTGCAAACAACTAATTTAGCTGTGCCCATATTCTCTGGAGAAGAAAAAAACAATCAGGACTGAAATCATCACAGGGATTAATTTTAAAGACATTATGCTTGTACTGTTAAGCATAGCCATGTATCTGTACACACCTGAGGGAAAAACATATTAACACGTAATTTATGAATATAATGTGATGCAACAATTCCTAGCTCCATCTCTTACATTAAAGAAGAATAAAATGTTTGTGTTCAATTAATACTTCTGGAAGACTTGCCTTTGAATTCTAGATTGCAATATGCAATTTGAGAGCAGAGTGTGCTGTGTCAAGGCATTTCTGTAGCAGAGCCGGGGCTCACAGGATCAAATCCCCAAGATTTACTTTTCATTAGCTCCCATCCCACTCAGGCTTTCCTCCCTCTTCTGAGCAAGGCTTAAATCTTCACAGAAGGAATATGCTTTCCTAGCTATAATATATTTCTCAATTTATTTCTCTTGATGGTGGTTCAATTGCCCACATACTTCCTAAGCAATTGAGATAAACCTTCCATTTTCATGTTCCGCTTATAGCTTAAATGAATTGTCATTAATGTTTTTCCTTGTTCCTTCCTTCCTTTCATGGTTATTCTTTGGGGTCAACTATTCTGCAAACATGACTGATAGCTATTGTTGTTTACAGGTTGAAACCATTGGAGATGCATACATGGTTGCTAGTGGCCTCCCCATTCGTAATGGGACAAAACATGTTGAGGAAATTGCTACTATGTCTTTGCACTTTCTCAGTGCAATTATTTCGTTTAAGATTAGGCATATGCCAGAAGAGAAACTGATGCTACGTATTGGCATCCATACAGGTAATATTTGTATTCATACAGGGCATTGTTCACCTCTGAACTTTATTTTTGATCCTCCCTAATTGAATTCCTTTGCAGAAACTCATCTGCCTGCCAACAAGAAATAGGTATTTCCAGTTTTTTTATTGCTCTTCAGAAGTAAAGAAGTAGTTGGAAATGTCTGTTTGGTGTGTAAAGCTGCATTGTCTCAAAGAACTGCAGATCACTCAACTCAATTTTGTTGTTTTTCTCTGTTTCATTTAAGAAAGGAAAACTGAAGATGACGTTTCACTCAAGGAAGTAAAGCACTGCTATATTTGATAAAACTGTATTGATGATGCTGAGTTACATCTGTCTGTATTATGTATACCTGTATTAGAGAGGGGCACTGTGATGTTCCACCCAGTGTTCCCTGTTTGTTTTCCCCAAACACAGGTTCACCCTCTGGATATGTTTACTCTTTCTTCTGCTACCACCAGTGGATCTCTCATCCACACTGCACCATATATGCATCAGACACGTGCTACCAATATAACTTATTTATCTTTTGGTTTTTAAATCACAGATGTTGTTTTATTATTGTTTAGGATCATTCATTAAACTTCTTATACAGTATTTGATTACACATTTGCTTATTCAGGTGTTGTATTTACTTATAGTGGTGCCTCGCTTGACGAGGATAATTCATTCCGTTGAAATCGCTGTTAAACAAAATCCTCGTCAAGCGAAATGAAAAAGCCCATTGAAATGCACTGAAAACCGGTTCAATGCATTCCAGTGGGCCAAATCCCTCAGCGTCCAGTGAAGATCCTCCATAGGGGCAGCCATTTTCGGTGCCTATAAAGCGATGAATCCATCCTAAAGCACATTTTGCACAGCAGGCGGCCATTTTAGAGCCACCGGTCAGCTGTTTTAAAATCATCATCTAGCGAAAAATCGGTTCCTGAAGCAGGGAACCGATCATCGTCAAGCAAAATTTCCTGACTATTTAGCTTTATTATTCCATTTATCTCCTTCTCATTCTCTCTAACTCTCCAATTCTCTCCTTCTCTCCCTAAATCTCCTCTCTAACTCTTCATCCACTGCCCCCTTTTCTCTGTCTCTTTGACTCTGCCCCTCCTGTATTCTCATAGGCTCCTGCACTTGAGCTTCCGCTATGATAAACAGGAGTGACATGGGCATTCCACCACGGGCACGAATTAAGCTGTCCCTGTCTGGACTGAGTTGTCAGTGCACCCACAAAGGTATTGTGCAGGGACAGCACTCGCCTCCCCTGCATTCTTGCCAATTCCTTGAGTGGCACACACTTCCCTCCTTGCCTCCCCAGTGCAATGACCCACTCGCTGTTTGCAGCGTCCTCTTCCTCCTTCCACTTTCTCTCTCAGCTGACCACGCAGATGAAGAGGTGGGTCAGGGATTCGTGCCCATCTCTAATCTGTAGTACCTGTTCCTCAAAAAAAGTATAATGTCTGGAATCATGGTGTTTCTGGTCTGTGTGATTCACATCTGTCTTGGTGCTTGTTCCCATAGGCCCTGTTGTTGCAGGAGTAGTGGGAATCACAAGGCCACGCTACTGCCTCTTTGGAGATACCGTGAATACAGCTTCAAGGATGGAAAGTACCAGTTTACGTATGTTGTGTTCATTTATTACAGAGGTAATGGGAAGATTTATGAAAATGGTAAAGCTCTATTAGTCAACACATTATATTTCAGAGGAAGATAATAGCAGCTTGCAGGCTGACTTTGCATGCTTATGCATGCAGCCTCCTAATTCTGAAAAAAACAACACAACACACTCATATTTAGTTGGAAAGGTGGATAAGGTGATGGGCACAGCTTTACTGGTTATAGCAGAAAGAGCTTTGGTGTCACATAAGGCATTGGATTCAAACACAGGCCAACCTGTTTGCTGTATAATGTGAGCCCCAGGCTTGTGCTAGACAGTGCATGGAATAATAGAAAATATGGGCACCTTTGGGTGCAAGAACACTGAGTGGACCCCCTGTTATTTGCTGTGAAGACTAAGAGTGTTCCCCTGAGCTGGGCACACACGTCATCATTGTTACCAAAGGATCCACAATGGAGTTCCATAAAGTCTGAAGGACAACTGAGCTGGAGAACACTGTAAAGATCCACAGGCAGACTTGCTCCATCCATTCTAGCTGATGAAGTCCTATCATTCAGCTAGTCAATCCACCATAGGATTGACTGGATGCAGTGCAGGCCCACAACAAGTTATGGTGGCTCTGGTGAGTCTTAAGCAGATGAAAAAGAAGCTGGTATAAGGTCATTGCCATGCCTTATGTGCCATGAACTAGACTCCAGTGTATCATGGGACCTGGCTTCCTATTAATTTTTTTTTGCTATAAATACCAGCTTGATCTCCCCCTTATTTTTCCTATTTCATAGGTATATCCTTAAGCTGCAAACATTAACTATCAGAAAAATAAATAAGTGGCCATACCTCTTTAAGCTAGAATATATTCAAATACTTTCACTCCCAATACAATCATTGATGCACAATAATGTAAATCTTTCTCTCTTCCTTTTCTTCCCTCCCTCCCTGTAGCTCTGCATATTCATGTATCTGTGATCACAGCAAGTGCTCTTCAGAAAATTGGAGGTTATGATTTGCAAGAAAGAGGGATTATAAAAATAAAGGTATGTCTGTCATTGAACTAGAAGATCACAGAAATTTGAAGGACACAACAGTACCAAACTTTTGCACACAGGCAAGCAATTATTGTCATCTTAAAAATTCAGGTTTAAACAACTGGCTGCTGCCAGCAGCAAATGCACTAGACCAAGATCCACAAGATTACCAGCTAATCCACTGGATTTATGCAGGTAAAGGCATCTGCCTATAGGTGAATGTAAAATATAGAATAAAAAAAGGAGAACACAGATTTAGCAAAACATAATTTTTAAAAAATAAATACTTTATGCATAAATCTGCCAATGGTGTAATTCCCATATTTGTGGACATATCCTTATTAGGATTCTGATAGATTCAGTCTCAGCAGCTTGAAATAGTTTTCTTGGTAGTATCCCAAACTGAAGAGATGAAATCTTTCAAAATCTTAACAAGATTATGTTGACAAACATGGAAGACAAACAATAGCCCATACACTAGAATCATTCAATATACATTCCACTCCCCAAGAAAGAAGACACAAAAGAGTGCAGGAACTATAGGACCATTCCATTAATTCCTGATCTAAGTGATTCCCCCACCTCATTGTTTTTGCAAAGACAGCAGAGGTGGGGGATCACCTGGGTCTGCAAGCGGGATATGAAGGCCTTAGGAATGGACCTCAACAGATGGGAAACCTTGACATCTGAGCGTTCAGCCTGGAGGCAGGCGGTGCATCATGGCCTCTCCCAATTTGAAGAGACACTTGTACAGCAGACCGAGGCAAAGAGGCAGTCCCAAAACAAGCAAAACCAGGGAGCTGGACAGGGGACAGATTGGATTTGTCTCCAGTGTGGAAGGGATTGTCACTCTCGACTTGGCCTTCTCAGCCACACAAGACACTGTTCCAAGACCTCCAGATAGAGCACGATACCATAGTCTCTTGAGACTGAAGGATGCCTACATAACCCTATTCACACCTCAGAATTCCCCAAACTCGGCACACTATCTCCTTCTCCCTTCTCTCACTCTTACTCTCTCTCTCTCCCTCTGACCATCTCTCTCAGGCTCTGCCTCTTATCCTCTTTCTCAGCTCCGCCTCTCAGCAACATGAATATGCATGAACAATTACATAACAAAACATGAACCATTGACCTAATAAAGGGGAACACTACATCAAGTGTAAGGCTGTGTCACTAGCGACCAAGGCCAGAATATTCAGAATTTGGTCTTCGAGGAGAACTTTATGGATATCATGGATTGACACAAAGACAGATCTAGATCATATCAAGCATGAACTCTTCCTAAAAGCGAACATGATTAAATTGAGGCTTACTTTGGGCACATCATAAGAAGACAGGATTCACTACAAAATACAGTAAGGCTGGGGAAAGTTGAAGACAGCAGGAAAAGAAGAAGACCCAGTATAAGATGGGTTGATTTAATAAAGGAAAACACAGTCTTGAGTTTGGAATTGCTGAGCAGGGTTGTTAACGATAGTGCCTTTCGGAGGTATAAGGCAGAGAGAGATTATAAATCAGAAGTGGCACATAACAATAAATTTAATATCAGTTTTTAGCAAAGGTTTTTTGGGGACCAAATACCACAGTCAACCTGGCTAAATTGGGGTACTTGGAATTGCCCCCCAAAAATGCATTTTCCAGTAAAATTGTAATATGCCATTCACAGCTCAGTGATCAAGAACCTTTTCTATACTTCTTTAGAAGGCGGTGTCCCCAAGAAAAGCTACTGAATTCCAAACTATACATTACAGATGACCCACTGTTAGAGCTGAAATCACATTAGTGCTGAAGCAGAAGGACTGAGGCAATCTTTTGTGCCCGAGAAATCAGATTTACAAAGGAAGCACATCCTTATGGCCTGAAATCCAATCTCAAGACAATAATTTTCAAATTATACGGTGTGAAAAGAATTCCTGTTGTGACAATCCCATACAACCAGCACTACATCAATTCCCTCTTCTAGCAGAGACAGATTTCCTGTAACATACAGCTGGATCCTGAGAGAACACTGCCAACTGAAAGCATATGATGGCTCATTCCCCAAAAGGAGGATTTGGACATTTGGAGAAAGGGTTTGGTAAACTCACTTTTTTTTCACTTTTCTTTTCTAGGGCAAAGGACAACAAAAAACCTTTTGGCTGAAAGGAAAAGCTGGACTTAGCACACTTCTGCCAGCATTCAGCAGTGATGTGGAAAACCGTCCAAAGGAAAATTTGGAGGCAAGGCTTTACCTGCATATTGTACTTGAGATTATAAATCTAGGCCACTGGAAATAATTGATAGATATTTTTTATTAAGCACATCCAGTGAAGTATCAACACTTGAGTGTAAATTTGGGTCCCTTCACTGGGAGAAAAATGGCAGACAAATAAAAATATAAAGAATATAATCACAGGCTAAGATCCTGGTGCTTTGTGTAAGAACATTTGTAATTTCAGTCCATTCCTAACTGGCCAATTAAAAATTCCCAACTGTGACTCCTGGTGGAGTTGTCATGGGATTCTTTATTTGCCAGCTAGGAACAGCATGAACGTTACAAGTTTTGTCTACACTATGCCACAGGGTTTCAGCCACAGTGGATTACAGCAGCATTATGGACTAATAAGACAGTCTAGAAGCACTTGGTTAATTATTTAATGGCCAGTGTCCCTTTGCTAGATTCAGCTAGAGATGTTGATTCCGTGTTGACTCAATAGTCAGCAACTGATTTAGTGCATCTTTTAGCTGAGACTACTAAAAGGTGGATACTGGATTATGTGATTAATGGTTGGATCAATATTTTTGCCTCCCCCAGATTTTTCCTCTTGTCCTCATAACTTCTGACCTTGTATATCTTCCAAGATGCAGTTGGGACTGGACGCTAGGGCCAATGTCCAGAGACTCCAATTCCAGATCCCAGCCCAAAGACCACATGTAAATGTTACACACTTGAATTTTGCTTTTTAAATGTTATTCTTTTCCACAACAACAACTTTAAATTGTTAAATTGTTATATGATATGTTGTTACCCACCCAGAGTAGTCTATATGACTAGATGGGTAGGCTATAACTGTAATAAAATAAATAAATAAATAAATAAATAAACAAACAAATTAGAGCTTTTCCCAAGTGAATGTGTTTATTTTATTTATTTATTGGTTTTATATACCGCCCATCTAGAATGTGTCTACTCTGGGTTATTATCAGGGAACCACAAACACACTTAATTTTTTTCTCTTGATGGTAGTATGATTTGAGTAAAGTAAAACTGTGAATTGAGCATGCTCAATTTTTTTAAGGTTAATTTTTAATTCTTGCATATCAGGAATTTAGAAGCCATTATAGAACAACACAAATGTCAAGTGTCTTGAATTACTGTTACCCAATTTTAGATTGGGATGGTCCCTGGTGGAAGACCAAGAAAAGGAGACCAGTGTGATGCAACACAATTTTGGTGAAGCCCAGAAACACACACTAGTGGCTATGCACTAAAGGTGAACAAAAGACCTTTACAAAAACAAAAGCCCATTCTTATAGGTTTCTTATGCCAAAGAGTTAGGAGGAGTGACTCAGATGATGCCAGAGATGAGGCCTGGAAAACAGGTTTGAAACAGTTTTGGGACAGTGCTGGTTATCCCTGATAAGGGATGTGTATTCCAGCCTTATGTTATCTAGGTCCCTTCTGAAGGCCACTATCCCGTCTTCCCCCATACAGCTATAGCAATAAACGTTCCTAAAGGCATACATGAGAATAGGCACATAGGCACAGGCAGGCCCCAAGATTCACAACCGCCTCCCTAAGGTACAAACAAGACAATATGTAACATTAAGGCTAACAATAAGGTTAACATTATCAGCTCCAGCCGAACAATCTTTAACTCCTCCAGTGCATTTTTTGGTCTATCTAATTTCAGATTTCGTCTCCCTAGTTTCAAGTTTAAATCCGATAGTGATGGTATAGTAAAAATCTTATGACTCGTGTCTGAAGAAGTGGACTTGTCCATAAAAGCTCACATTCAAATATAGCAGACTTTAATATGCCACATTTTTCTTTTTATATTTTTCTATATTTCTTTTTCTTTTGTTTTTGCTTAATTTCCATTATATTATTCCTTGATGGTTATGCTTCAGTGATTTTGCTATTCTTATCCACACAAGGGCACTCATTGTGGTGTAGTGCAGCGGTCCCCAATCTTTTTCGGTCTGCAGACCAGCTGGGGAAGGCAGGGCATCCCCCGTGCTCACGCACATGCACTCTCTCGCAGAAGCATGTGCACGCGTATGCGAGCACCGCACTGCTGTTTGCACATGCACACAAGAGATCACACACTCATGTACACGCACAAACAGTGGTGTGGCGCTTGCACAGGCATGGGCGCACTCATGCGCATGTGGCAGCACAGCGCTTGTTTGGGTGTGTGCATGCTTGTGCGCATGTGCAAACAGTGGTGCTGTGCTCGCATGGGTGTGCTGGAGCACGCACAGCCACAAATGGACTGTGCGGGGGTGAGTTCATGGAACAGGGGACTGGAGATCTGTCTCAGCAGCCTGGTCTGGCTCAGGCCACGGACCGGCACCAGGCCGTGAACCAGGAGCTGAGGACCTCTGGTGTAGTGGGTAGAGTAACAATAGCGCTCAGAAGACCTACAGTCAGCTGTGGAAGCTCACTGGGAGTGTGCAACTAGTGAAACCACTCCTTAAATATCTCATTTACTGTGGAAACTCTATTAGAGTTACTGTAATTTGGTTCTGGATTGACAGCACATCACAGTGTAGTCCCTCTGTCAATTCTAGAAATGGTGTTGGCAAAATTATTCAAATCCCATAAATCCAGTGATGATATAGTAAAAATCTATGTAGTAGTATAATTCTGCCTACTTTGTTAACTAGGACCAAGTTGCAATTAAAGTTAACAGTTAAAATATTGTGATTTTTAAAAAACCCAACAAATCAGTAATCCTTATCTGTCATCTTCCTTTCCAGGCATTTTTATCTAGAGAATGGACACACGGAATTTAGAGTCTTCCATACACAGCCAACTAGATCTTCACAAGCTAGTGCTTTAGTTTATACTTCTGAAATGCTGTGAACTGGATTCAGTTGATTCATCTGTATACTGGACAATATTGGCTGTGATTTTCATTTATATCTGTGACGTTCACCCTTGTGCCCCTTGCCTGACCCTCCAAACACAGAGCACACGAAGGCAAACTACTACTCCTTTTTACCCCGCTGCCACCAGTTGATCACTAAATCAACATTAATTATGGAAGGATGAAGATGCAGGTCCAAACTTCACTGTCTTTTAAATAAAACATTTTTATTGATTACAGATGTTATTATTATTAATCATAGGTGACTTCTATTATCTTCAATCTCAACCAACTATTAGCATTACAGTTCTTATTCACTTTGCACTCTAATCACCTCAGATCTCCCAAATACCACACTCTATCTCCTTCTCCACTCTCTCACTCTCCCTGACTCTGACTCTTACTGACTGACTCCACCTCTTTATTACATTTCTCTCAGCTCTGCCTCCTAGCAAGATTAGCCTGCAACATGAATATTCATAACTACTTAACATAATAAGGGTGAACACTACAATCTACTTGTTAGACAAAAAGTATCTTTCTTTAGGTTTTCTTTTTTCCTTTTCAAATCTATTAGAATCACTCCACATTCTTTAAAAAACTGGAGAAAGGGGAAAAGAATGCATAAATAAATGCACTCCATGTTTACAACAAAAATATTGGAGCCTTTGATTTTTTGAGTGTGATATTTTAATTCATTAATTGCATACATTAATACAGAGTCCATAGGCCAGCACTACGACTTTCCAAATCCTACTTGTGGAAGGATATAATAGCTAGTAATACTATTAATTGAAAACTAATTAGTTTGTTGCTATACTTAAAATTAAGACTTATAAAAAGTATCTGTTTAGGGACAAAGATTGTAAAATATGTATAGGACCCATAATGAATAATGAAAAAGTGACTATGGATGGTATTTTTAAAATACATGATTATGATACTGGACGTTTAAACTAGAATATTTGGAATAACAAAGAATAAAACAGAGGCTGACAGTGAGACAAAGACTGCACTCAACTGAGAAATTACTTCCTTTACTGTATTCCTTAAGACAGTGGTTCCTGGTTTTTAATAATAATATTTGTATGCCATCAAATTGATTCTGACTTATGGCGACCCTTTGCAAGGTTTTCTAGGTGGACTGTACTGGGACTGTGCTGTTTGCTGACGGCTACACAGATTGACTCTTTCCTCAGGAGGCACAGTGGGCAATCAAACCCACAACCCCTGGCTCCACAGCCAGATATCTCCAGACCACTGAGCTATCCAGCTGAATTTTTTTTACTGCACTTTAAAATAAAACAAATTCCAGATTTTTTGGAAGCTTTTTTTTGAACATTTTATTATTTTTAAAACATACATACCTACAAAACAAACAAAAACCTACAAGACAATAACACATAAGACTAACAAAACATACAAGCGGGAGGTATTTCCCATACCAGCTTATCTATTATATAATTTCTGACTACAAGAATAGTATATCCATGTGCATCTACACATGTTATATTTCACATCCCTATTTTGTATATCTAATTGAGTATCTAATGTCCTAAGATTATAATAAATTTTATAAATTCCCTCATCTGCATTTCCATCTATCTAAATCTCATCATAAACATTTCTCATTTCTTCTTTAAGATTACTTATCCACCCATAGTATCCACACAGGCCTGTTCATTCATCAAAGATCTCCATTCTTATATACAAAATATATATATATGTCTAATCTTGTCAACATAATCACTCTTATAATTCACACATATTTGATATTTCAATATACATGCCTCACATACAAAAGCATCCAATATTATTATTCATCATCATTTCTAAATTTCATGAATTACATGTGCTTGTCTAGCATTAAATTTCATATCTGGCCAAATTTGCTTATAGTAATTATATATATCTCGAACCAATGATTTCTATTATTTATTCAGCAAGTAACTTCCTCCCTTTTCATTTTTATTTATCAGCTCCAGTGTTATCAAACCAGGATTGGCCTTTCTAATCTGTCAACATTGTCACTAATATAATCACACATATTTGATGTCTCAAAATACGTTCCTCACAAACAAAGCATTCACTATTATTATTCATCATCATTTCTAAAATTCATGGATTACATGTGCTTATCTAACATTAAATTTCATTTCTGGCTGGATTTTTTCCCCAGTTTTGAAATGCCATCTATAATATTTATTTAAGACATTTTCTATACAGTTGACTAAATTCATCTCCATATGGTCAGTGTTTTGGTTTTGGAGCAACATAGATCTGTGTGATCTCTGATCGTGAATTTCTGCCCTCAGACTTGCCATTTCTCTGAGCAACATAGATCTGTGTGATCTCTGATCATGAATTTCTGCCCTCAGATTTGCCATTTCTCCCCCTTTACATTCTTTCCTTTTGGAACAGTCTTAAAATACTTTCTCCCTTCCCAGCCCCCCCTTTCATCTTTTTAGGTATGTTGTCCAACTTTTGAAGATTTTTTGGAAGCTTGATTGCTCCAAGCATCTTGAAAATGATTTTGTTCCTTAATTCATATAGTCAGGAAGTAAACTGGGTACCAGTGTGACTTTGGACTAACCGCTGGAAACACTCTCCTCTTTATTATGTAACAGTGATCTTCCCCCTTCTACTCAGAAAATTTAGTACAATATTTATAAAAGCATGAGCATGCAGCTGATAAAAACCAGCATAGCTTTTTTCAACTGTCACAGAAAGAGAAGCCAGATGCTATTCATTTTCCTCCCATAAAATTCAACAGACAGAATAAACATTTCTTTGTGGTAGTAGATTACCATGATGGTAGCAACTAGCAGCTGATGTCGGGTAGAGTATTATTGTAGAACTGCACAGAAACCGAGGAACAGAAATAAACGGCAAAGAAGATCTGCAAAGGAAAGGGATACAGCAAGGGTATGTCACTGACTGGATCACAAATGTTCCCTGTTCATGATCTTATCAGAGGTGGAAAAAATTCTGAGAACTCTGAGCATAGGCGGTGTGACCACAGCCACCAAAGCATACAAGTTTCCAATTGGATCATTGACCTATCAATAAAAGTGTGGATGTTCAGGACAATAAACAGAATCTGAACGGAAAACCTGTTTGCACTGAAAAATGTTACCAGGTGAGTGATTTATTATGGCTGTGGAACCAATTAACCCAGAATCTGAATCACTGACATGAACTGACTGTGATGAAATCGGAGGGGGATTCACTTGGTCCAGATTTAGCCCATATCAAATTCAGATCATGCTGAATCACCTTCTGTTAGGCAGTGGCACTTCCCTAACTCCTTTCCTTTTCCTGCACAGATTTTGGCCCTAGATGTTTAGGTTATAGTGGATTTTAATTTCAAACTTTCCTGATTAGTGTGTTCACACAATAGGTGAAATCCTGTTCCATAATTTGCACCCACATAATGCTGACATTGTCACCTGCAGGGTCAATTCTTCAAAAATTAAACATTTCCTTCTTTTGTCCTGAAATTCCCATGGTTTATGTATAATCCCTTTCATCACTGGGATTTTTATCATGAGAGCTGCAGGACAGATTTAGGAAGTGTACATGTCTGTATCTACAATAGCTCTGTTCAGGCCCTACAGGTGCAAAGGGAAAGAGGGATGAGTATACTAGTCTTATCCCCTCACCTTTGCTATCGCATGCAGAGGTTGACTGTCCATTAAGGTACAACTCTATCCCTTGATATTGTAGAACCCAAGGAAACAAGATTCTAAACTTCCAAGGAAAAACTTGGCCTATAGTAGACGCTCTCCCTTGTTGAGAGTTACTCATCATTTCCAGACAATGCCAATGTCCTCATTCTCATTCCCCTCCTCATGTGTAGAGGTTACATATAAACAGCTAAATAAGGCTAAATTTGTGCATTTAATTGTCCCTGTAATTTGCAAGTAACATCATTCTGGCCTCGCTCAGCTCTAACAGGATGATTTATAATGTAACATTTTCACCGAGGCTGACAAAATTAGGTTATACAACATGTAGTTTGGACAGATAAGTGTATTTAACCTTTACCTGAAATGCTGCAATTCCTGGATAGCCCTTTATCTGCATGAAATAAGAAAAGGAATATCCACAGATGTTATGAGAAATGGAAAAATAAAATAACGGGATTACCAATACATGGCCATGCAACACATTGTAAAATATATGCCTCATTCACAGATGTTGAGTGCTTTTGCTTTATTATTTATTTATTTAATGCAAAAGAGCCTACAGTATATTTCAGCTGGCTTATACCAGTAATCACATTACCTGCTAATTTGTAAAAAAAACCCCACCTAAATGCAAACTTGCAAACAGGCTGAACGTGCACCATAGCAGCAACTAATAAGTCAATCAGCTTAAAATGCTTTTAATAAGATATCATTTGCAATTCCTTCTGAAAGTCATCTGAAACTTCTTTGCTTCACTTCTTCCAGATGGCAATTCCATCCTTTCAGTCAACTCCTTCAATTATCCATTGCATGTGCAATAAGAATCTTGCCCTTGACAAAAGTGTTCCCTATCATCTCTTGAGGTATTTCTTATTGTATTCTAGAAATATCTGAATTTCTAAATGCATGAGTATGGGTCTCCTCTCCTGGGCAAATGTCTTCTTTTTACCTCAATCAGACAACACACCTAGAAAAGCTCCAACCTCAGAACTTTCACAGAGCAATAAAATACAGGCCAGAGTAAAATACTGTATCCAGGTGTGTTCTGCCACATATAGAGGATCCACTAAATTTGGTAGAACATCATCTATGCCACACAGTGGAGCTTTAGAAATTCTGGTATTAGTAGCTTATTGTCTTATTGGTCAGCACATACTGTTATTGTTTTACCCCCAAAATGGGTAAATGAAATGAGTAATTCATTGCCTGCGAAAAGCACATTGCTTATCTCACACACTTTTAAGTAACCTCAATGGTGCCTTGATCAAATGATTCTTGAATTGAAAGTGTCTAGATTGAAGCTGGAGGCAAAGAAAGGTACACTTCCAATATTTTACTGCCGTACATTTTTGTTTGCGAAGGTGGCATTTGACTTTTATATCAATTCAGTTGTTCTGTTCAAATCCCAGAATGTGGGAATTAAGTGTAGCCCACTAAATATGACCCTGTTCCTGTTGCCACCTTAAGCCTGGAGTGCATATATGGGTCCTAGAAATATTTGAGATACCCTTTCTTATCTGTGGAACAACATATTCTGTGCCACTCTGTCACCTCAAGCACTTCCAGCAGGCCATCTGGTCCTGTCCTACAAGAGCAGGTGAGCCTGGGAAAGATCAAGTCCCTCGGGACCCTAACCAGTAGGGAAGTGCCACTGCAGGTGGAAAAATGCCCACTGGCTGATGTGGGACAGCTGAGGAAAGGTGCAACAGTGGGAATAAAAGAGCTGGAGTTGCAGGGCTCAGAACATTGTCAACCATGCTTAATGAAGGGGAGAGGTGGGAACAGGCAGTTGAGCATTGGGACTCCATCTTCTGAGGTGCAAACAGGAATAGAGGACAAGGGAAGCCACATCATGAGCCCAGTTTATTTGGTTGGGGAAAGGGTTGGGGACCTGACGTTCCGGCAACTCAGCCCTAAGCTGATCCAATGCCATCTCAGCTTTAGCATTCTGTCCACTCGACAGGAGCCATAGCCCCTCCCTCAACCCAACTTTGGTATGGGAGACACAAGCAGCAACAGCCACAACAAAGGAGGCTCCAGGAGCAGCAGCACTGCAGAGTATGGTCCCCATTACCCAACTTTAACAGCCATCCCTAAAAGGACTATGCCCTGGTTTGATACTCATACTTTCCATATTTGGACTTCTGGGGACCCCAGTGAAATCAACTGGGGCCCAGCTTGACAGATTATGCTTAGTGGGGGATAGTGCTAGAAATTCAATCCCCTGGGAATATGGGGGAAGTAGTAGTAAGGGCTGATTATGTGCTTTTAATAAAAGGTTTTGTGTCTGATAAAACTACAGCAGAACCCATGGAATTATGCCTGGGGATTCCTCAGCTGCCAGGCCCCTGGGAGGGGGCCCAGCAGGATTCATAGTTACAATCAGATTTGGCTGATTATTGCAGAATATTTACGCTATAATCTTCAATTATCCTACCATTATTATTGGATAAAGTGGTTTGGCCTCCCTCTCCCCAAAATAGCAATTTTCAATGGGACGGTCAGACTCCAATAAATAGTAGCATTGTGCACTTACTCTTCACAGTTAGTTCTGCCATTAAAACACCACCTGTTCGTTCCACATGTTGGCTCCGTTTTTCACATGCCTTAAAGTACCAAAGAAAATAACTCATAAATAAAATTAATCCTTGAAAAGGAGAGAGACTTACTGTTGAGCCCATAACCAAACAAAGGTTTGTTTCCCTATATGCTTCTATACGAAATGGAACCTTTCTCACATTAGGGTTATTGTGATTCAGTTAGACAGAGTCTCTGAAGGTCTGGCAGCATATGTCCTAGAAGCAAATTATGATTTTGACCATTGGATCCTGGACATATTTCCATTAATTTTCATAGAAAAATAGAATCATAGAATAATTGAGTTGGAAGGGGCCTTTAAGACCATCGAGTCCAACCCCCCTACTCAATGTAGGAATCTAAGTTAAAGCAGATCTGATAGTTGTCCAATTTTCTCTTGAATGCCTCCAACATTGCAGTGCTCACCACCTCCAGAGTTAATTGATTCCATTAAAGTTACTTCCAGGTAGGTCCCTAGGTTGCCAAGGCCGAGTTCCAAATTGATGGAAAACAGATCCAGGGGAGATCTGCCAGACTCTTCATTATTTTTGATGTACCAAACCACCTCTTTGTATTTGTAATGCATTTGTTTTAATTTCCTCTAGGAGATCAGGGTAGCATATGTGAGGCATGCTCCATATTATTTTCATAATAACTCTGTGAAATGGGTTACATTGAGAGCTTCATGACTGAGTAAGGATTGGAAGTAAGATACCCCCTGCTCCAGTCTAAGCCTGGCCAACTCAGTAATGCCTATGCTTTCAGTACAAGTTCCACAACAAAATAGAAACAACTTTGTAGAAAAAATATGTAACGTTGAAATGGCAATGCAAAAATCCATAGATATACTTTTCTAGGCTCTCAAGAATAAAGCGTCAAATTTTGCATTCCAGGCTTTATCGATGATTGCAAAGAATCGTTAATTACTACACTCACCACTGGGCAGGAAAACTTCTCACTGTCACACACATGTGTCTCACAGTGCAGCCACACTTTGGAAAGCTTGGGAATATTCCGAAACCGAAATGCATTAAACTGGAAGGTGGCCCGGCTGTCTTTCCCATTTTCATGTACTAAGATGGAATCATCTGCTGCACACCTGAGCCACGTGATAATAGATGGTATTAGAACAAGAAGAACTGCAGGGCACTGTTTCTTTTGCTATACCCAATACATGGTCATTACAAGACAACAGCAAGGAACCCATGATATGCTGGGAACATTTGAACGCTAAATTCATTTGCACAATGAGAAACAGAAATTGGCCAAAACTGAAATATTCCTCTGTGCCCTTCTGGTTGGTTTAACTGACTGTTTGATTGCAAAGCAGAGAACACCAACACTGGCCAAGGCACTTGTCACATTTTGTTGGATCATAATACTTTGTACTTGCTTTAAAGGAGAGCACCCATATGTATTCATATACTGTGTTATTGTCACTAATATTCTAAAATTAATAGAAAAGCTAATTAGGAAAGAATGTCCAATATAAATTTCAGGATTGCTTTTGCATATTAAGATACAAGTGGTGTTCAATAAATGATAAGTGATATAGGTGGTGTTCAATAACACTTCTTGGTCAGATATAGATTCACAAAATTACCTACCCCTTAGCTATCAGAGGCCACTGGACTGGATAGAAATATTCTGCTGAAGGGGTTGCCCAACAATTGGTCAGCACTACTTTAAATCTATGGGAGACAAACAGATGCCAGCACTAGAAGGTCTTTAATTTTTAAAAACATCCTTTCAGTCACAATTTAATACTGTAGTTGACTGCTATGAAGTCATTCATACCTGTTACTTAAGCCCTTTGCTTCCACTCCAGTAAACACATCTGAACCAATATCTGACGTTTCCACTATGAAAGGGGCTTCCTTCTTGCTTGAAAACTTGGCATTCTGATTTGAAAAAAAGAGGGTGCACTCTATTAATAATGTCACATTGGCTTTGGCAATTCGGCATTGCACTTTGGCAAGCCTGGCCGAAGACATTTCTTTGCTTGAAGGAGAGTAGCACTTAGGTCTTCATCACCAATGAAGATATATTGCAGTCTGAGTCATTTTGGTACTGGGAAGAGAAAGCCCAAAAACTCCTCCTCCCTCCCTGAGTGTAATAATTGTATAAAAAATAAAGGAGAGTCCTAAGACTGCCTAATGATAGGGAGAGGGGCAGCTTTGTAAAGGAATACCACAAGATATATTGTTGTCTAAAAGGGAACTATAAACAGAGCTCTCTCCAGCCCTAGCCCAACTCAATCTACTCCCAAATACAGTAGACCCACTGAAGCCATGGGACTCTTGAAGTCACCACCTATGTAGGTTCCATTGATTTAATGGGTCTATTCTAGATAAGAAGACCAATAGGATTGGGGTAATAGTTCCCAAGACCAGTTTAGTTATTTTGGCACCCGAAACACAAGATCCCACAAGTGTATTTCCTTGGGACTCAGAAGTACAATAAAAATTAAATACCTAACAATTTGTTGCACTCCCATAATTGTCAAAATCAGGTGTCTGAGGCAGCCACCTCTACTTAATAGCAGGATTGCTCCAAACATAATTTATTAATTTGTTCAATCTGATGGAATTTATACATTTCACATAATCCCAACTCAAACCAAAGAAATGGACATCCAGGTCTTTTATGGCATATGAACACCAAAGCAAACAAACTTTCTCTTCCTCTAATATTGCTCACTGTATGGTTTGTCGCCTAACTGGGAGACCCAGAGAGGCATAGCACTTTTCCTGAGACTTTAGTTGGCACCCCTGAGACCTGGCAAGTCTAGTTGTTTGCCTAAGAAGTGTTGCAACAAGGAAACAATCACGAATGCAGCACTCTATTAACTGTGGGGGTCATGGGAAAATGTCAGTCACCTGACCCTCCCCTGGACAGACCCTCTGTTAGGTCCCAGCATCTTGAGTTATTCATAGTAAAATCCAAGCCACTCTTTGGGTGAGATTTGACTGGGGAGGGAGAAGAGAGATTTGGGGCTGATTTCTATTCATACTATGTGTTGCTCACACATACCCCACCCTGTAAAGAGGGTCAAATTTTCCATTAAAAGCCTTACACCATGAAACAAACATTAGAAACCAAATACAAAGCAGAATAAAGATCCCAAGAGAATATTAAGCATTTTCTGCATTCAAGAGAGAGCTAGGTAAATTTCAAGAGGAATGAAAGGAACTCTATGTGTAGTGAAGCCTAAAAGACAAGATACACTTTGCCTTTTGTTTCTGGTTTCCCAGAGCTTTTAATGGAGTCACTAATGGAAAACATTAACATGCACCACAGAGTTTGTTCCACAGTACAAAATGGCAATATATAAAAGAGATGTATGAAACACTTCGCATAGCAAGTTGTGGTAGTGCTGTTCAATAACAAAGCTAGCTTTAGTTAAGCTGTTGGAGAATAAGGGGATGTTTGATGTCATATAGAGAAGACTCACATTTTCACTGGATGATAATAATTACATACCACTAAGTCTATTTTTTCCAAGATTTTCTTGAAAAGAATACTGAGAAGTGGTTTACTATTCTCTTCTTCTACACTGATGAATATGTTGAATTAAAATAATTCAACTGAATGAGGTATCTGCTTTGTGCCAGGCCAGTTCATAAAATTATATCATAATGAATTTTTATGATGCTGAAAATCCTTAAAAACTACATGACTACAGTCATGTTTCTGAACTATGGATCTGGCTTCTAGTGCATATATTAAGAACAAGCTAATACATACTTGCCAGTCATCGCACGGCAACTTTAGGGACTGCAACATTATAGTTGGACCAATCCTACCATTAAGGAAAGTGAGGTGGCCACTTCACACAGGGGCAGCAACATTAAGTAAAGATTTATGAATTGTACAAAATACCACCTCAAAGTGTAAGAAGCCCAAAGGAAAAATAGGCCTTCCCTGAAGAGCAGTTGTGATTCCATACATATAAGGGGTTTTCCAACAAAGGATTCCATGAACCAAAGTTAAGCAGCTTTCTTGAATTCCTTTACTGAGAGAAAGGCAGGATATAAATAAGATGGAAAAATGAACAAATGAACCATGTCCGCTGATTCTGCTACAGGCATGAAACATTCCATACTATACTGGAGGATCCATAAACCATGTGAAGTAGATTTTTTTTGGCACACAAGACATCCAGTTCTACAAGCAAAATTACACTCAAAGGAACTTTTGATTCAACCGAATACTTTTGTGTTGAATCAAAAGATCTACCCGTACCACTCGAGTGAGTCAGAAGGTGAGGCTGAGGAACTTGACGCCAAGGGAGGCCCAGAAGGAAAAAACAAGAAACCGGGCCTTCTTGGTGGTAGCTCCTCGCCTCTGGAACAATCTGCCTCCAGAGATTCGTGCGGCCCCTTTGCTGCGTATTTTAAAAAATTAGTTAAAAACATGGATGTTCAGGCAGGCCTTCCCTTCAGCTAATATCTGATTCTCTTCTTTCTTTTTTGTTTACTTTTATTTTTTCTTCTCCATCTTGAAGAACTGGTCCATGTGATGTTATAATTTCTTTTGTTATATTTACTTGTTTTATGTGTTTGTAAGCCGCCTGGAGTGGTTGCAAGACCAGGTAGGCAGGATATAAGTAGAATAAATAAATAAATAAATTTTGAAACTAAACAATTTATAATATTATCTGAGGGATGAGGACAGGACATCTTGGAGATCTGTCATTCATGAGCTAACCAAAAGTCGGAGGCTACTTGACAGCTCATAACAAGCTAAGACAGGATATTTTGGAGATCTGTCATTCATGAGCTCACCAAAAGTCGGAGGCGACTTGACAGCTCATAACAAGCTAAATTACCAGAAGCCACTGGTAATGGTGCGGCTAAAAAATACTGTAAATAAGTAAATAGTGTAAATAAATATAGGCTGGCTAAAAAATACTGTAAATAAATAAATACTGTAAATAAATATAGGGAGTACTTACTGAATAGAAGTTGAGGGACAGCTGACTTTCAAATGAACCAGCGCTTCCATTCTTCACATGAATTGTTGCTACTCTAAAGAAGGCAGAAAATGTCACATGACTGAATCATACACTATTGAAAGTAGAGTAAGATGTAGGCTAAAAGTTGGAATACAGTGAACTGAGACAGAATTACCTTTGGTCAAAGGCCGCATGGTTCACCAGATAGTTTGCATGATATGTACATGTAAATGTGTAATTCACAGGCTGGCTCTTCACTATCACAGAGCTGTCATTGGAGACAATGGAATTGTAAAAGTGGTAGACAGGGCTTCTGAACTGTAATTGCAGGAAGACAGAGGTCAATTTCTACACTCCAAATGCTTTTTTGGTTTCAGTGATCCTGTTAATAGTTCAGTTCTAAATGACAAAACAAATCAGGCTAAACATGAGACATATGGATAAGGAAAATAAAATTCAGCAATATTGAAAAATTCAAAACTATAAATTGTTCATCCATGGTTTTTAAAACTATCATTCAAAAGCTATGATAAAGCTATATGAAAGGTTTTTCGCTTCAGTTATATATTATCCACAAGTATCATCAATTCCATAGAAGGAAATGTTGGTGCTTTGTCTACTTACATCCGATTGTGTTCCACAGTACGATTTATTTTTGGGCGACAGATCTGGAATTGTAAACTGGTAATACCCTAATTCATGAACTCCATTGTAGCAGATTCCTCCAAGAGCCAGTTGATTAACTTCCCAGCCATATGGACATTCGGGGATTTTTGTAATGATGGCTTTAGGGTAACAATACACCAAAATTACATCTAAAAGTTAAAAAACAAAAGCATCTAGAACGTAGGTATGATTAAATGATTAAGAAATGCAATCTATCATTATTTCAGGTATTTTAATTTGGTCTTATCTGTCTCTCTGTCTCTGTCTCTGTCTCCGTCTCCATCTCCGTCTCCATCCATCCATCCATCCATCCATCCATCCATCCATCCATCCATCCATCCATCCATCCATCCAGGCCAATTAGTGGCAGAGACACTACTCTGGGTGGAAAACGAATAATAACAATACAATACAAACAGTGCCAATAATACCCACATGCATGGTAAATGTTAAACATAATTTTAAAAAAAGATAAAATGAGTAAAAGTATAGACTAACAATAATAAAATTATTAAATACAATAAAGGTGGCAAAAACAGGGAGGTACATAAACAGACAGGTGGAAAGTCTCATCGATTGGCAAGACTAGTGTAAAGCCACAGAAGGCTTGTGAGAAAAGCCAAGATTTAACTTGTCTCCTGAAGCCAAGGAGGGATGGGGCTAATTATACCTCAGGTGGGAGCTAGTTCCAAAGTTATGGAGCAACCACCAAGAAGACCTGGTTTTGTGGCAAAAACAGGGAGGTACATAAACAGACAGGTGGAAAGTCTCATCGATTGGCAAGACTAGTGTAAAGCCACAGAAGGCTTGTGAGAAAAGCCAAGATTTAACTTGTCTCCTGAAGCCAAGGAGGGATGGGGCTAATTATACCTCAGGTGGGAGCTAGTTCCAAAGTTATGGAGCAACCACCAAGAAGACCTGGTTTTGAGTGGCAGCCAAAGTGATGGAGCAACCACCAAGAAGACTCAGTTTCGAGTGGCAGATTTTTGGGCTTTCCTTAGTGTTGCCACCCACAACATCCCAGTGTATGAGGTACGGGTGGGATCGGTAGATGTTTTGAGGGAGAGTCACTCAGACAAGTAGCAAGGCCCTAAACTGTTAAGGGCTTTAATGTTAACACAAGCACTTTGAACTTGGCCCAAAAGCATACAGGCAGCCAGTGCAGCTGTGTCAGGACTGGTGAAATATGGTTGAACTGTGATGTTCCTGATACCAGCCTGGCCACTGCATTCTGCACTTGCTGCAGCTTTTGAACCACCTTCAAAGGCAGCCCATCATAGAGAGTGTTGCAATAGTCTATTCTCAAGATTACAAATCCATGGACCAATGTTGTTTGGGATTTCCAATCAATATCGGGGCAAAGTTAGGTGATCTGTGGGTAAAAAGCAGACTTGGCCATAGCTGACATGTGATTTTCCATTGAGAGAGCTGGATCCAGAAGCACATCTAGATTTTGCACCTAATCCTTCAGGGGAGATTGATCCCATCAATACCGGGTAAATAGCCACCCAATTGAATGGGGGGTCCCCTCCAACAACAGGACCTTTGTCTTGTCAGGTTTCAACTTCAACCTGTTAGCCCTTGTCCAGTCCATGAAAGTGGCCAGGCAGTGCTCCAGAGTCTGCACAGCTTCCACTGCTGAAGAGGAAAAGGAGAGATAGAGCTGCGTATCATCAGCCTACTGATGACAGTGAACTCCAAAACTCTGCAACTGACCAGCCACCACCCTCTCAATCAGTTTTCCCATGAATTGAATATTTGTAGTGAGACTACAGTTGTTGAAAAATCTGAAAGAAGATCTGGCTTTTTTAGAGTGGGTCTGATCACAGTCTCCTTTAGAAATGGACTTAGTGGTGCAATAAGTCAGATCAAGATGTCCAGTCCCCCGTGTGGTCCTGTTTTGTTTGAAAGTGCAAGCACCTTGTCCACGTCCTCCGGCATCACAGGGTGAAATTGATCCAAGAAAACAGGACCACACAGGGCACTGGACATCTTGATCTGACTTATTGCACCATTAACAGAGTTTTGATTATATATCGAAAATTGGCTGCAAACCAGTTGCATGTCATGGCATCTGGCTGAGGCCTACAAATGTTGCCTGACTTCAGTGAAGTCATGGAACACTTTAAAGAGTTTGGCCTGATGGTTAGATGACATTGCCCAAAGGCAAAAAGTGCTTATATCTCCTCAGTGTGCTTTGGCTTAAAATAAGGCCCGAAAAGCCAAGCAGCTTCTACAAGATGTTCAAACTGCATCCAGTGTATGAATCTAAGCAGGAGCGAAGGCAAAGATTTCAGTTTTGCCTATAACATAATTCGAATGGCTCTCCGGATGTTTATGACTCACAAATTGTTTTCTAAACTCAGTCTGAGTGCCTGAAGGGGGCTCATGTCATCCCCATAACTTCTAGTTTCTGGTACTTGAAAAAGAAAAATTAATTCTCATAAAATTAATACAATTGAGCCTTTAAAAGGTTTTGATTCTGTTTTGATAATTAGCTTGTCCCCAACTTTAAAAAATGTCTTTCTGATTTGGGGATCAGATCATTATTTCCCTTATTGTGAAACTGCACATTAAATATAGTTCAGTGTTTCTTTTTACTGATTTTTTCCCCTAATGCTACAAAAAGATGCCATCAGGAAGATGATATAGATATATTAAAACAAGGACAAATAGATTTAAAAATAGTTTTTATCCAAGGGCAACGACTTTGCTAAATTCAGTTAAGATTTAATCTGACGTATTGTAGGGTTGCATGTGAATGTATTTTGTTATCATTGTATTATGTTTGAATTTTGTAAGCAGTTTAAGCTGAATGAATGATGCACTGTCTAGATAGCACTCTGGTGATTTCGTTGCGCATGCAATGACAATAATGTGTTATTCTATTCTAAATTATTCTATTCTATTCTATTATTATTCTAATTAAGGGAAGTTGTTGCACAGAAAAGACCAACACTTCATTAAACTGAGGTGTAACATCCAAACAGGAGTATTTACATCTACAGTTCTACTTCTACGTCAAAACCTTCGTCACGTCATACATTTATACCACTGTTATCTGTGACAAAAGTTGTATGGTGTTAGTGAACCCATGAGTTCCTATAATTTCCTAATTTTCTGTTCCAACAGGGCAAGAAAGGCATGTGTCACAAGTCAATCTTTCTACCATTCATACCCACAATGAGCACTTGGATTCACTTATTTGTGTTCCAGTGCTACTGGCCTCTCTGTGGGAAGTGTAATAAAAAAGGAAGCAAAGATAATGGAGAAATCCAGAAGAACTTTGACCCAGACAATCTAATCACAATCTATGTTAGTCAAACTGCATGAGTCAACATAGTCACTCCCACTCTACAAAAACTGAGGTCTGGTAAACCAAAGTTGTCCATTTTGTGGATCAAATTATGCATACTAGCTATTCCCAACCTGATATCCTTCATAGGTTTTTAATCAGAATTTCTGAGCATCTAGGCAAGGCTGATCTGAGCAGGAGTTCAAAACATCTTATGGAACCAGGTTGGAGAAAGCTAATGCATCTCTTGCTTATAAAAAACTTGTTGGTGTCATGGGCCATGGTGTTGCTTCCGATTTACGGCAACTCTGTGAAATGTTCAGAAAGTGATTTCCCACTGCTATCATCCTGTGAGTTTCCATGGTCAAAATAGGATTTGAATCAGGTCTTCCAGCATTTTGTCCATTATACCACACTGGTTCTCAATTAACTTTTAAGGTGCTAAAACATTCATCTATTTGTTTTGGTACAGAAGTATTCGTTTGTCTCGGACTAAATCACTGTTTCTCCACCTTAATGCCTTAATATTAATAATGAAATAAAGGACTTATTTTTGTGGTAATGGTGAAGAAAAAAGTATGATTTGTGCATTGGGGTTGGAAAAGTAATAACAATGATAAATGTTCCTGTCAGAAAACCACAGACACACAGGATCTTTTGAAAAGTGATACAGTGGCGGAGAGAGAATTCCGTTCATTTAAATGGGAAAGTATTAAGACTGCAAAGTCATCTGCTCCTAAATTTAATTTGGGTTGGATTATATGCTCTATGAAGCAAAATCAATTTGCATTTTTTATTTAGAAAACTGTTGTTGTCTCCTAAGGCAAGTTAGGCTCTATGAACATATCTTTATAAGAGTGTGTGTGTGTGTGTTCTGTGCTGCCAAGTTGAAACCGACTTTCAATGACCCTAATAGGGCTTTCAAGGAAAGTGAGATATTTAAGGAGTGGTGTAACCAGTTCCACTCCACCAGTGAGTTTCCACGGCTGTGCTGGGATTCAAACCTAGTTCTCTAGAGTCCATCACTCTATCCACTACACTACACTGGAATCTTTTTAAAAAATACGAATCAGGTTTATTAGTAGGCTACGGTAAATAATTCTGAAGAAAACTTACAGAAATGCCTGTACATTTTCTACACAATTATTTACCACAGCTTAAAAGTTTGACTGGAAGGAAAAGATACAGATGGAGTATAGAAATGAAGTTATTTTACCTGCTTTATTTGGGCTGCAAGGAGCTGTCACACCTCGAGCCAAGACAACCCAAAGAAGAAAAGTAACCATGAGCATTTCTCCAAAGCATATAAAATAACAATGAAAGCAAAAATCAGTTTTCCAAAACTCCTCCAAACCTTGAGAAAGATTCAGTCTCTTATGTGCATCCAAAATATTTGGATTACCTGTAAATTACAGTAGACAAGGTAATATGAAATCTTCCATCCATACAGTTGGTTGTCATTTGAACTATAAATTAGAAATATCCATTGGATTTTAAACTTTTAAAATGTTTAAAATCTTCTCAGAACATTTCTCTATCACTACAAATTAAGTTTAAATGTTTTTGCTTTTTTTGTCCTTGAAAAATTGTCTTTGCACATTGAGGGGGGAAAGGAAAATGCAAAAGCAAAAAAGTGACATTGTAAAGAATTTTTGAAAGTGGAAACTGGATGAGAAAAGATGTAGTTGGAACAAAGAACTATATTAGAAAAATTAACAAAAATTAGTTAAAATATATTTACATTCACACACACACACACACACACACAAAACATTTTAATACAAATGCAATTTTAATAAATATGCATTTTAATATAAATACATTTTTAAAACATAAGAACATTCTCTGAATTCAACTGCAATTTCTATACTTAACAAGATGGTTTTTAATCTTATGTCATTATGTTCAGTTGTTTTATTGTGATTATTAATGTTATCCCACTTCACAAATAATAATTCTCACAAAAATTATTAGTAAAAATCTGAGGATGAATTATGAGGTCACATGACATTGGGTAAAATCCTGTTGCATAACTTTACACCCAATGCAAATCAGGGACTGGAAATGTTTAACTCACACTCATTACAAGCTTCCTATTCCTCCATTTTAGATTCAGAGTGCTCCCTTAGGTTCATTCTCTTTTTCATTTTATATTTTAGCATCTTGGCATCTATCTGGGATTTCACATCTATAACTCATGTAATTTTAAAACAGTTCTAAAAACATATTCTTTAGTAATATATTTCTGTATACATTTTTCAGCAAGCTATATTTTAAAAGAAGTAATACATACAATACAGGAACAGGGGTGCAGATTAAGGTGTTCATCCTCTTTGACCAAAATGAAAAGACTTTTCAAATAGCACCAGGTGGCATTATCTTTGCTTTATATAGAGCATCTTGTAAAAGGAGCCTCTGCAAATTCAGCCTTGATTATTCCATCTGGAGAAAGGGGGTGGATAGATGGGCAGGCTGGATTGTCTACTTTTCCAACACAAGCATTTAGTTTCACTTTTTCAGTTCCATGCTTTGACTTCATTTTTTTAAAAAAAAACATGCAATATTTATCACCTTAGGTTCAAAATGAATTCTGATTTTTAGCAACCAGCAGAATAATGCTTAAAGAGAAATTTAATTTTTGCAATTGGGAACATGATCTTGAGTCACTACTTCATTTAAAAAAAAAATCTGGGACTCCATATCTATGAAATTTTTGGTAATACAAACCCCTTTCTCACTTGATAATTACAGACCATAATTCTGTTGCTTAGTGTAGGGCATCACATTAGAGTAGGCCCATCGAACCAACTGGGATTTAGTGAGTCAACTCCTCCATAAGTTCTATTAATTATACTAAAATAGATTACAACTAGAGAAGCCTAGAGAAGAGAACCAATTGAACTTATGGGTCTTCCATAGTGTGATTTCCTACACCAAGTAAGAGGATTTTGTCCACCAAGTCAAGAATAGCCATGTTTTTGGTGTCTTTCTGTGATATGAAACTATAAAGGACTGGAACAAATTAAAATGTAAAATTATCCTAACCTTTATGGTAAATCTAATTATTTTTCTTTTTAAGGAAAACCCAAAATCTCCCAGGCACGTGAGCCCTGGCTGGAGATTTAAACATTCAAAGTATTGAAATAAATTCAAAATTTGATAAATATTTCCTTTCTTTCGCTTAAAGTGACAACTTTGTGGTTGTCAAAAGGAAACACATTTCCCAAAGTTTCATTGTTTTTAAGTACAGGATACTCCTCTATGGTGAAAGGTACTAACCAGAGTGATCCACAGTACAATTTCTGGTACAGTAGAGGGTTGTCTGTGGATGCTTTTCATCTGCATAAGAATTAAAAACTCCACCAAATGCACTTTCATGGAATAGTATTTGATATCTGCACTGATAAAAGGTGAGGACTCCAGGGAGGTTTGTGTTTCTCTTGAGTAATTGTGACTAGAAAGATGCATTCATTAAACAGCAAATTGTCTTGCAAATGCAAATTGTATCTCCCAAGAAAACCCTTTTAGATTAAAGCTGACTGCAGAACTTTAACTATGGGAGTATTTATAATTTCTGCTAAAAGCAAATAAATTTTTGTTTGTTGTGGGTTTTCCGGGCCCTTTGGCCGTGTTCTGTAGGTTATTCTTCCTGACGTTTTGCCAGTCTCTTGGGGCACTCCCAAGCCAACTACACCAGAGCACAGGATGCTGTCCTCTGAAGATGCCGGCCACAGAGACCGGCAAAACGTTAGGAAGAACAACCTACAGAACACGGCCAAAGAGCCCGAAAAACCCACAACAACCATTAGATCCCGGCCGTGAAAGCCTTCGCGAATACAAATAAATTTTTGTTTGTTTTTTGTTTTTTGGGGGTAATGATAGC